CGCGCGGCGCGTCGCGCACGTCCGCGTTGCCGTCCGCGCGATCGCCCTGGCCCACTGACCTATATTACACGCGGGGTACAGGTCCCGCATATACGAGTCTCGACCCACAAGCGATACTCGGCCGCGCCAAGTCGGAGCGGGCCAAGTCGCGGCCTGTTCCCTCGCTCGTTCGTCGTGGTCTTCTTCGTCTCGTCTCGTTTCTCTGTCTTGTTCGCCGTGCGAAATGTCTTCGGCCATCCTCGGTGCTTCGTGGGAAAACGCGCGCCGAATTGCCGCGCGCGAAACTCGAGAGACATCGACGAGAATCGGTCGAAGGATGATGATGATGATGATGATGATGATGATGTTGTTGATAATAATGTCACCGATGCTCTTCGGTGATGTGGCCCGGAAATGTGAAGCGTCAAGTATGTTTGTAATATAGATTGTGTGGAAATGTTGTCTTCGCGTTCGGTTTTTATGTCTCTCAGATAAGGTTAATTTAAAGGAAATTTATATCGACAGCGAAGCACACTCGAACTTTGCTCGCTGAGGACGGATTGTCGAAGTTACGAGAATCGAATGTTCTCCACTCGAAAAGTTTACGCAAAAAATGTTTGACGTACGTTGGTAGGAGCCACTTGGCGCACGTGCACCACGTTGTCGATGTGCATTTGACGCAACGCGGATATTTCTGCCAGTATGTGTGTGTGAACATACTTTCTCGTGTTTGGTAAACAATTTTCGAAAAGATTCATAGTTCGAAACATGCGCGCGAAACATCATCCCGTTGTCGTCGTTTAATTGCTTGCTGTGAATCTGAAATTTAATTCTCTTCTATCTTTCTGAAAAAAACTGAGTTAAGTCCGCGACTTTTGTCACATGGACTCGTATAGTAGATAATTATCGCACATCTGATGTTACTGTTGGAGCGAATGAAAGTTGATGCGAACTGAAGGAATATCCCGTATGAGGGATAAAAGCAAACGGGTACTGCGCGCGTAACTTCCGCGATTGCATCGATTCGGAGTGCGGGTCAGGCGAAGTATGTCAAGGACGATTGAAAGCAGAGGAATCGAATAGCTAAAGCGTTATACCATCGCGAGACTCGCTGCTCCAACCGCGTACATTTTTGCGCTCGCTTGGAACAAAATATATATTATATATTATAATAAATATATATTGTGTGTGTGTGTGTGCGTTTGTTATTGTTAATAATAGAAAATGTCCTGGCGACATTAGACAAAAGATCCACAGAGGATACCGACAATGGGACACGGAGAGACAATGGGTAGGTTTTTTGCTGCGGTTTAATATTGTAAAAAAATCGAATGTCTGCGCAATTTAATATACTTATTTTTTATTTCATCTATATACACACGTAGGAGTTTTATTTACATGTATAACATATATTTTACTTTCTCTGAGTTTTCTTTTTTGAGCGTTTATTTCTCAATTTTTCTAATTGATAAATTAGCAATTAAACATAAATTGTGCAGATATGCGTGATAGTTTTAAGGAAGTTTCCGGATTTTTTTTAATTTTTTTTTTCGGTAGGAAAAACTACCATAGAGAAGCAAGAAGTGTTAAAATTATAGACAAACCGCGTGTTCTGAACATCATTGGAAATAGTTTTTTGTGATGGAGTATATAGACGAACTTGGTACCGGCGGTCTATTCGACCAGCCGTACGTGTTTCTAGTAGTATACTTTAGACGTGCTAGTTGGTCGGTGTAAAATGAAAAGTCAGCCGCGCAAATAGCCAGATTCGCGCAAAAAGCGTCTATAAACGTGTGCTACACGACTCCGGCCGCGCATTCAAGCAAGTTTCGAGTGTCCGTTTATCCGATGTCTTCGGCACGCGCGACTCGACAACGAACATCTCGTACGAATTCCTCCGTAGCAACAGCGGCTTTAATTGAGCGGAGTTTAATTAAATGCTCTGCAGAAGAGAAATTTAATTTTCCCCTCCCGGCTCTTGGAAGGAACGTCCAAGTGAAAATATGAAATAATAAAGTGTTGCTCTTGAGTGATCTTGAAGAGAGAAAAAAAAAAAAAGACGGTTAAGACCCAAGTGACAAGTTAAAGATATCTTAAGTCAAAAGTGAAAAAAGTCGAGAAACTGTGATGTGACAACTTTAATAAGCTTAAGTCACCGGTGCGAAGTTGGCGCACTTCGCTTTCAAAAATTCAGTTCAGTTTTACTAAGAGTTCCATTTGCGATCAGTTCTTACAGTTTCTGATAAGTTTTATCAATTTTTATTTTTCCGATTTCTTTAAGATATTTTTTTTTCACAATCGTTTGAGGTAAGAAAATCCTCTTCTGTCTTATAGTGCGCGCGCGCAGCCACATTGTTCGCGCGCTTAACACAACACCGCGTGAAGGAAAGATACAAGAGTATTTTTTATCCTCCGTCGACTTCTTTGACTATCGCAATAGTAGTAATAATAATAATAATAAAATCTACACACTGTACTTCAGTCTCTTTTAACATCTAAAGCCTTCAGCTTCTTTATATTTCACCGAAGGTCATCATGACATATTGCAAAATCTCAACTTCATATCAATAATTAGCTAACACGGTCCCCTGTTGACCTTCGTTTTTCCAAATCCGATTTGCTAAACATAAATATCTTTGACACAATCGTTGCTAAAAAGACGTTCTCCCGCTGTTTCGCAAGGGTTGTTTCATCAGTAGCTTCTTGACTGACGGCAGACTCGTACCATCCATCCCTCCACCTAATCTAATACTTCCGATCTGAGTGGCTCTTAACCACCGATTTGCTGACGGGAATTTCTATTTCAAACTATTGTCCATTCGGATTCTCTCGTTGATATTCCAGCTTAGCAAACTTACATATCGGTTTCTTCGTTTCTTAATGTCCGCGAACTGAGGCAACTTGCGTTTTCTCCATCGCTGCTATTTAGACTTGTCGTAAACCGAGACCCTATTCAGCTGCAACGGATCCCGTTCGGTTGCTCTCAAGCGAGAGCCCCCGACTACGTAGCTACGTTCCGATTATTTACTGGCAGTACTGAAAATCTGTATAGTTCACGTTCATATATGCATTTTATAGATGTTTGCAGTATTGGCAGCGAATATCGGAACGCAACCTGTCAAGCCTGAACTCCATTGGCGAGAAGGACTTTTCAATTCTATGACTTCACCGTCAAATGTATTATATAATAAATATCAGTGTGTCGTCACACAGAGTTAGTCCGAACAAAAATTTCGCCACATCTATCGACGTCCGCCGATGTCGCGAGTGTCCGTTGTGGTGTTTCAGCGTGTGGGTTCTACCTATGTGTACGTGTATATATGTGCGGCAGTTCGCCACATACTATCACCTTCATCGCGCGCGCGCGCACACACACACACGTATGTATTTGCGCGCAGCTCATTTCGCGGCCAACATAGACTATAGATGGAGGGAAGAGAGAAGGACAGAAAGCGCGCGGATCTCGCGGAGCGAGCAGAAACGAGTGAACAATCGAGAGAGAAGGGAGTGCAATATAGCAGCTGAGGAAGAGGGGACATGGTAGCAGAATCGACGCCGGGGGGAAGTGGGGCACGCGGGGAATCACTTCGTGACAACTGGGTGACGGCTGCGTGGATATACGCGCGCCTCTCTTGTGATGCAAGGTGCTTTCCTACGCGCGGTAAGTGGTGACGTCGGCAGAAGTGCGAGAGCATTTCGCGACTTGTGCCGCTGCTGCTGCTACCGCCGCCGCCGTTGTTATGAAGCGAGCAGTGCGAATGCGCACCGAGAACGCGCCTCTTCCTTCCTCGCGAGCCTGATATCGGTACCGTCGACAGAATCGCCGACGCCGGCGCGGTCGTCGCGCGAAGAGAGCGAACGCGAGAGAGACGAAACGTGCGAAGCGACAAGTGCGAAGAAAATAAGAAGATTGATAGGTGAACTCGAGTGCGCGCGCGCGCGCGCGTGTGTCTGTGTGTGTGTGCGCGTTGTGCCGGTTTTTCGATCTAGATCTTGGAGCGATTTTTGTGTTCTTTTCTCGAGCGTTCTCGAGAGCAATTTCGATTCCGAAGATTGTTGAGATACCACGGTCGATGGACCGCGGAGGATCAGGAAGTTTGAGCGAAAGTTTGGGAGACCTTGAAAAGATCTTCAGGCTAACGTTCACAGTTCGATCTTATATATTTTAAGATCGTCTTAAATTCACTCCGAGATGCTGTGCAGGCTTGTCTCATTGCGCATCATCTTAAGATAAGAACTGAGGACGAATTCAAATATAAAATCCGATTATATATACGTGCGCACGGGTCTTTAGAAATAATCGGAGTAATCATCACAGTTTCCAGACCATGGTCTGGAATATTTTGAGAAGATTAATATGCTCGCATATTACAGAAACGTAAAAGAAAGTGGAATCCGTGTTGAATAAAAAAAAAAAAAAAAAAGAAAAAAACAAATCTCAGTACAATAGTGTTTGCCGATCAGATTGCTGACGACGAAGAATTTCGATCGGGGTCTCGCATCGAAATCTCATCGTCGTCGAGTGCTGATTCGACGTTCGGATTGCAAAAGTCTCTCGCGGATTACGGAGGCAGCTATGAAATCGATCGCCGGGAAACATCGCTGCGAGAAATGGTCGAGATCGTCGAGTTTTGTGCGGGATCGGACTATGCTTTTGACGTCGAAGAAACGTTCGCGCGATCGTGACGTAGAAGTGCCTCTCAGTGTTTGGGTGAATAAAAATGGGAAGAAGACAAAGAATTTCGACTACGATCGACAAGCGGAATGTATGGTAAGCTGTGGTGATGTGTGATTACGATGATATGATAATTGAAACAAAAGCTGTGCGCGCATTTTGTGATATTTTAAGCCGCGATGTGTCGCATGCGATATATATATAAAAAAAAAAGAGATACGGTCGATATTTTTCTTTTCCCAAAGATTGAGACCGCAAAAAAATAATTTACAAATGTGACACAAATATTTTTCCCTTTTATATAATGCCTTCTTTCTTATCGAATGTCAAGTGTTATCGTTATTCGCACAGAAAACAAACGAGAAAAAGAAGTACTGTATATTTTTTATAATTATCTCTCGAACGTTTTTTGTAGTTACTTTCTTCAAACTGCGATAATACTTGCGCGTAATTTCATTGTGGTCAGATAACGCGCCTAAGATCTCCTTTTCAAACTTTATTCGCACGTTTTGTGTGTTTTTTTACTGTATTTAATATTTAAGAGAAAACCTTTAAGCGGATTGTGTTCGTCATCTACTTGGTTCTTTTTGTCTCTCATCAGGATTTCTAAAATATTCATTTGTGTAGTTGAAGATCTTTCGGTGTTTAGTCAGCAATTTTCTCGACCGATGTTTCTCGATGTCGATGTTTTAGGTTTTTGTTTTTTGTGGCTTCGAGAACACCACAAGCGACGTTGACGTCGTCAGTGGTGTAGAGAGAACCGGCCCCAGGCTCCTACGAAAATGTCCGATTATTCCATCAAGGCGGTTCAAGGTCGAACTTTCGATCAATCGTCCGCCACCCGTCTCGAATGTTTCGTTATTACGCGTTTATCGTGTTAAGAGCTTCAAGTGCAACACACGCACAGGCTATTCCCTCTTAAGAGAGACGTTGAACGCCGCGAACCAGCTGATTCTACTTCGTATAAAAACATTTTTGTATCGCGAAACAAATAAAATCTGCTAACACAAATTTTTTATGTTTCGATCGGAAGATTATCAAAAGTGTGTGTGTGCGCGCGCGCGCGAATTGAACTTGTTTAAACACAAAAAAAAATATTCTATATTATAATATCGCAAATTAGACGTATTTAAAGACGTGTCCACGTTGGTCGAGAGATCTTTTGTGTCTCTCACGGATTTTCCCGGAGTCCCTTTAACATCTCCCTACTCTTAGCAAGGTTATCGACATGGAATACGGAGCGTCGCTCGAAATAGACACGCGGCCATATACATTTTATTTTGCACGTTTCGGCGAACGACACTGCCGCGTGTTTGGCAGTCAATGAGCGTTTATTTTTGGCTGATAAAAATCGGCAGACAGATGAGATCGAGCGCGCAACAACGCTGAAACCGCTAATGATAGCCGATAAGCCTGTTATTGTATCTTTACCAGGATAAAACCGTCGCTGTTCTTCCGACAAATTAAATTCTCTCTTTTTTTTTTTTCCGAAATAGCGCGCGTTTTGATGACGTTTATTATCGCGATACGGTGACTTGGTTCTCGATTGCTTATTTAATCGGATAATTTTGCAAAATTTATCAGTTAGCAAAATTAAAAAAAAATATATTTCAATAACAAATCATTGTAATTAGTGTATGTAATTTATGTGACGGTGCGCAATTACGATGCGCGCGCAAGGAATTTCAGAATGGAATTCAACACGCGATTGATTGATTGTTGTTTTATCATTATATTTGACTTTAATCTATCATTTCGATTCAAAGTATATCAATATATAAAAGGAATAAAGCGCGCTTAGTGACGTGTTTCAAATGCGTTGTTTCCGCGCGTGAATCATCACGTAATTTTATTCGCCAATCGGCATTTTGTTTAAACGTCGCGCTTTTTACTTGCTAAACGACTGGAAACATCGCGCATGCGAAAATGCCATTCATTTTAAGTAAGTACATATTTTTACAGATGACAATCAAATGTTTATGACAAGCTTATTTAATCGCGGTTTTTATAATTCACACTCGCAATCGTTTCGTGCGTTGATTTACGTGAAGTTGATTTTTTTTTTTTTATTTGATGAGCTCTGCTATTCACACAAATTCGGGTCAAGGTAGAAAACATTGTTTCACCTTTGTTTCCCTAAACATTACTGTCTTGTCTATATTATATAACTAGCGTGTGTTTTATCAAATGTGAAACATTAGAAATGTAAGGTAACTTCTTAAGAAAACAAATGATATATAAGTCACTGACGTATAATGAGCAACACTTGAAATGCAACGCATTAAACCGTGTTTCGAAAAGGTTTTTCGGTTATCAAATTGCAGGAAGTGTTTCGTCAACGGAGATATTAAGACATTGACAGTTTTCACAGATAATTTCGTTCCAGAAATCGAAATTTTGGCTGCGAATTGATCGAAAACCCATCGTTAAAATTAATGCAACGGTCTGTATAATCGAAGGAGAAGTGTTTCTCAATACCAAAATTCGTCGAAGTGACTTTTCATCCTCATGTATATATATATACACACATACATAGACCTGTTCACTGTCTCTCGAATGCACACAGAGACGCATCTGCGAATCGGTCGTTGTTTACCGACTAACGAGGTTTAAATTGCAGTATTTTATGCGCGGACATTTACGATTTCCCCGTTCGATTTTTTGCTGCTTTCGTGCCGAAATCCAAAACCGATTATGAAGTGACGTAAGGAACGCCTTGTGCAAGTTATTGTCGATTTTTCGAATTTAACAGTCGCGCGGCGGACGCCTGTCGCGAAGGTGTATAATTTCTTCGCAAATATATTGCTGATAATACGACCCGACAACAGTATTTATTTGCGTGCTTCTTGGTATAAAATTACGCGTTTTCTGTATTTTGTAACGAGGCGCAAGGTGCCTCGAGAATTGCACATTCCTTTTTATCACAAGTTTTGATCATATTTTAAATTGTATCTTTTTTTTTTTTTTATTTTTTTTATTAGGTTTTATATTTTCCTTTTATTGTGTATAACTTAATTGTTTGACGTTTCTTGATGTGGAAACACTTTTATTTATATTCCCCACCTCCTTTTATATTCTCATTAAAGCGTGTTTGCTAAAACGATACTTTTTAAAATAACTGATTTAATTTATTGTTGAAGAAAAAATACATGTTTTTAATTAGGAATGACTCATTTTCAACGAATTCACGTATTATTAAAGTTGATTTTGTGTGACAATTATATTTTTTTGCAATAAAGTTATATTTATTGAAGAAGAGCACAAAGCGTTTTAAAGAAATGCAATAACGCACTTGACCTACATGCGCGCTCATCTTCACTTGCCGCGCTTTATAAATGAGCGAAGTTGCGTTTGCGTCTTAGAAGAGAGCGCGCGGTGTTCGTAAAAGAAAGAGAAATACATTCGAAAGATAAACGAAGTAAACAACAAAACGTTATAGGAATGTATACAAAGCGTATTTAGAAAGTTTATAGTTGGCGAGATACAAGCGCCGAAAAAAATAGCGCGCCAACCGGGAAAGTGATGTAACGAATCTAATTTACGATGCAGTAACCCGCGCACTTTACAACTCGTTAATTACGTTATCGGCACACCGATAAATTAACGACCGCGAGATACGTAACGTGTATTTATTAAAAGAGCCTCTGAATCCGTCCTACGCAAACGAGAGATCCCGAGAGCCGAGAGTGCGCGCGTTGCTGTTCGCGCTGTGGCCGCGATTGCGATTATAAAACGTCAAGCGTAATCTGTAATTTACAGAAACCGCACAATCGCGCGATCTGTTTTTTTTTCTTCTGCATGTCGTGAAGATCCGCGAAAAATCGCGTGCGAAGCCGGATAATCTCACGCGTAACACCGCGTTTTTATCCCGTATAAGCATCTTGATAGGCTGTTTGAATTGCTTATACTAGACGTAAAACGTGTTCTAGGATCATTGTTAATTACGAACAATAAATAGAACAATAAATTGAAGTCGAGAAAAAAAAACGGTGTTTCAAATCATCGTGACAATTTGCTCGACACTTTCGGTTTCCACAAGAAATATGTCGTATTATCGGAAGATAACCCTTTAACTGCATGCGCTCATTATTGCGCGCGATTATCTATTATCTTTAGGCACTTCGTTAGCAGCCAATTCCTCGGTTTATTATAACGTCGGCGGCGTGTGTCGCCATAAAAGAATTTTATCGATTCGGGGGAAACGAACCGAAAAGGCAACACACAAAGGGCGAAGGGAGGCTCGCGTCGCTGCTCGCACGATGATAAACCAGTAGCCGACCGTAGAAAAGAAAGAGAGAGAGAGAGAGAGAGATAGAGTGAAAGAGAGAAAAAAAGGACGATCTCAAGGAATTGCACGCTGCATTACGCCGCTGCAGTAGTTCGAGGCATTATTTCGAGTCGGTCTTGTGCATCGCGCGTATTTATAGCGATGAATCCGGTGAATCCAATTTCGATAAAGAAAGAGCGAATAATCGCGCGATGTGAGAAAAAGGAGAGGCTACGCGATATATACCTGAGAGTTTGAGAAAAGCTATTAAAAATCACCTCAAAAGCGCGCTCGATTAATTCCGTCGAGATTAATTCGGCGTCTTTTAAATAATGTTCCTTGATAATTTAATCTTCCTTGTATGTCTCTCTTCTTTAAAAAAATTGATTTAAAAATTATTTATTTTATTTACATATCGCGCAAATATCGTGCTGCCGTCTTTTTATATCGCACTAAAATATGTCCGACTGCGAAAAATCTCTCCAAATATATTTCTTATTTAAAAAGACGTAAGTTTCTTTTGAAGCGCTTTTACAATCTTCTTAAAAGGATTGGTGTTCTTGAGAGATTTTAAATTTTCGGAAATGGGAACGACGCTCTGGGGCGTTAAAATTCAAAACGAATCGAATGGCCGTCGATCATCGAACAATTTGACATTGTAGTTCGCGAATTTTCTCGCAACTGCATGCTTCATCGATAGCGCGCGTAGGTGTCGCCGATTCTCTTTCCGATAACGTTCAGGAGGAGCGCTAGACTTAATCGGAGTCGTCTTTTTTTTTATCTGCTCCGAGCGCAATGTGTATCCGGTCTCGAAAGGAGCTGCCATCGATTTCGAGGTAAACGAGCCGCGGGATATCACAAGAGAGGGAAAAACGTCAGAACACACACGCGTGTATAGACACTTCAAGTGCGGCGGGAGGGAAAGACGACGAACCGCATGCGTGGCTTTCGTACACGTGCGGCAAATTAAACGAACGGAGATTATTCGTGGAGGAGTCATCGTGGCGACAAGATGATATTCTGCGAGAACTATCGTCGGCAAAACGCAGGATGCGAGTGCATCTGGTGATATATTTTCCGCATTAAATTTCAAATTTCGCGCTAAATATTTACACGTCTCTTTGTTAATGTTATTAATTGTTTCTTTGTAACTTTTTAAATCTATTCTTATTCATTTCTCTCGCGTGACGGTTATCTCTTGGTGTCGACAATGTGGAAGGTGCTTTTAAATTTTATTTGTCAGGTGACAAGTAAAATAAGATTTTCTTTCTTTTCATATTTTTAAGATTATTTTAATAACAGTTCTAACAGTTTATATATTTTTAAATAAATTGGTAATTTTTTTCCGTCTGCACATTGTCGAAATCCCGGAAAATGAATTCTCACGAATTTATTCGCTTCCAAGCCGATAGATAACGAAATTTCACTCTCAACGGATTTTTTTTTTTTTTTTTACATTTAACACGTCACGTCGCATTACTGTAATCGTGATTGCGCTTTTGTTGCAGGCCTGGCCCGTGTAACGTGCAAGACCCGTTCTTGGGTCGCAAAATGAGTGCGATCACTGGCGGTATTCCCAAGAAAAGAAAGAAATCAGATGCAAAGCCCCAGTCGCAGATGTAAGTACCAATCTCCTGTTTTTTGTTTATCCCTTGTCAAGACCCGATAAGCTCGGATTCGCAATTTTAGCCGTCGCGTCGGTCTCTAGCGAGCACACGACAAAAGTACTCTTCTTTTATACCGCAAGTTTGACATCATCAAGTGCAGTTGTCAGAGGAAGAAGTAATTTTGATTATTGTTACGCAATATATTTCTATATCAAAAAAAAAAATATATATATATATTTCTCGTTCGCACAGTTAGTTCAAGTGTAAAATATTATTGTTTATTAAACTTTTGTGTGTGCACACAGATAATGAAACCTTGAAACAATCGCGTACCTTTTGTATAATGTATTTTTACATTCTTTCTTTGTTGTTATATAACTCGTCCTTTTGTTATTGCGTAACCTGATTTCATTATGCAAGCATTGATAATTAGTCATTTCACTTACGACAATAATCAGGATGGTTATTTCGCGCTACGTAACACAAAGGTACATTAAAAAAATTCTCTATATTACGTGGAAAAAAAAAAAAAAAAAAAAAAACAATTAGCAAGTTTCTCGAGAAAGTTCGGGAAGCTTTGTAAAAAAACAAACAAGACACGATCTGTAATTTAAAGTGATTCCGAATATCATTTCGTATCGTGAATTTTTATGAAGCATTAAGTATGTCTGAAGTATCAAATGGGTCATGTGTGGAGTTTCGAAGTTCGAAAATCCGTGATTTAAAGACTCGGCAAATGCATACACGCCGACGAGCATGTCGTAATCCGTTGCTATCCAATTTGTTAAAGAGCTTATAGGTTCGATCGCATTATCAGTGGCGAACACTAACGCGCGTGTGATTTTTGTTTTGAACGTGCTCTGATTGGAATCGGCTTTGATGTCAAAGCAATATTTGGATTACATTGCGCGCGCGCGCGCGCGCTACGGAGTATTTTAAATTGTTTATTTATTTTGCATTATTGTATATTTATTCGCGCGTTCTCGCACGCGATATAAAGCGTTCTTTCCGCTTCAGTCGCATTAGCGACATTTGTTAATACGCGATTAAAAGCAAAACGCGATGAGCGAGAGTTGTTTTTACTTCACGTTTTAGAGCGAAGATTGAAGTCGCGTCGATTTTCTTTCGGTTCGCAATTTTTTTGCGGTCCATCTCGCTCGCTTCGCTTTGTCGCGAGCGCATAGTAGTGGTATAAGATATATAACTGGCAAGACGCGGCCGTATTGGGGTGTTAAAATAGCAGAATGTGTGTAGCGTGGAGTTTAGTAAAGTGAGAGTCACTGCTGGGCCGACGTGACGTCACACAAGGCCAACTGAGCGTTTCAAAAGAGACAAGAAGTTGATTCAGCATCTAATAATTTTTCTTCTATGCGCCGAAACCTCTCGCGAAATTTTTTTGTCAAACTTTTGCGATTCTAATTTCGTCGCAAACGAAAAATGCGCGCGCGAGAAGTTTCTCTCTATTCGCAATTTAAAAATAACTGCGGATCAATTATTTAGAGCGGGTTTAACGCCAACTAAAGTGAGAATCGCAATTAAGCAACGCGGCAACTTTTTGTTCGTTTTTAAACACCGAACTGTCTTAGCGCTTTTGCTGAGTTTCAATTCGAAATTTAATTTCCAAGACGTGTTCACGGTATCAAGAAAATAAGTAACAAATAATACGGCTTTCTTTGCGAAGTTCTTGTTTGGCGAGACATCTCATGATCTGTCGATGAATCTGTTATTAAATTGTGCAACCGAGCGCTAAACACGAGTACGTCAAACCGTGCCAGAACAAATTTACGAGTTGATCACACGGTTTCAAAAGAAACTTGCTATAGTTTGCTTATATTGTAAATCTCAAAGCATTTTTCGACGCGATAAAAAGAACCGCACACAGACCAAATCCACGGTTATTGTAAAATTAATGTCAATTTTTTATAATTTTGTTTATTACTTGTTTTTGTATCTAACGATGGTAATGATTTTTGTGTTGGACAGAAAATAGTCCATAGTTTTTTATACTTTAATTTGAATAATATGTTGCATGTTATATTTTGCGAGTTTTGTTGTTTTGTTTAAAATTCGTTTGTGTTTTAATTTAGTTTAATCATTCCTTGACGATGTCAATAATTGTTGATTTTTATTTATTTTTTTTTTTAATTTTTTTTAGCTCGCATTGAAATATCAAGAATTACAAACGCTGCTATCCTTGGTTTTATTGCATTAAAACGTTTTTGAAGATCGCAAGTGCATTAATATGTGCTGTGATTTGTTTTGCAGTAATAAGTGCCTTAATGAAAAAAGACGACGGACCCAAGAGAACTTGTACATCGATGAGCTTGCCGAGCTGATTTCCGCCACGGATATGAGCTCTGGCAAGACCGATAAATGTCAGATTCTTCAGAGATCCGTTGAACAGGTAAGACGACAGATTTCTCACTTCTTCGTTACGTATCAATAATTGATAACAGAGAGTGCTGTTGATATTGTTAGTATTGGTTTTTTTTTTATTTTTTTTTATTTTTTAGTAATATATGAAATGCAACACACACGTGTCTGAACTTTAATACTGGGAGAACATGTGAAGATACGGGTCGTAATTTTGATTAAATTCTTATCTGCTCTAGCAGATTATTTAAGTAGAGAAAAGAGAAAAAACTAGGTACGTATGTAAACACACATATAAAGAATTGTTTATTTATTTGAAAATAAAAACGTGAATAAAATTTAAACAAAAAGTGCACAGAAAACAAAAAACATTCAATAATTTCCGAAAGAGATTTAAATAATAGGATTAAGTCGTCGATAAAAATAACGCGAAAAATGGTTTTAGGGAAAGCGCTCACGTTTTACTTGAAAAATTATATTCATTTTTATCGTTCTCCAGAGTCGTAATATTAAAAGTAACTGCTCGATATTAAGACGGAATGATAATTTTATGATCGTCAAAGGATCGTTTTATGAACTCTCTCTCTCTCTCTCTTTCTCGCAGAGATCAATAATAAAACATTTTAGAGATTTAGCGATATTATTTTGACAGATCTGTTAATCTCTCCTGTCCCGTTCGGAGTTAATCTATCAGGGCAAGAAGGCACGAGGGCATTTTACGTAATTCAAGTAAAAATAAAGTACGGCACAAAAGACGGTCGCGGAGAACAATCTCATCCGTTGTCAGTTTTTTTTTTTTTTTGTCGAAGAATCGATATATCGACGAATATTCGTACGATGTTGTTTTCAGATCGTATACGAAGAGAAATCAGGGTACGCGCGCGCGATGAAATATTTGGGGAAGCACTCGGGATTATTGAAAGATTTGTAGAGCGAGCGAACTTCTCTCTCACAAAGGTCGTCCTATTTTATGGGTGACACATATATATATTTGCGGATCGATCTAAACTCCAAACGAAAAAAAGAACAACGGAATTTTCGAAAGCGATATTGCACATCGTCGTCGGTTTAATGAGAATATTAATGAGGAGGGGGAGAGCATCGCGCAATATTAAAAAAAACTCGTTCTCTTAATGAATTCTACCACTTTGACATTCTCTATTGGCCACTGTTTTCTTTTATCCGTCTTGCAAAATGTGTATCTATAATATTGCGAATTCCTGTTTTGCGATATTATTTGTCCTCGAATATCACATTAAGTTAGACACGCACAAGTGTAACAAAAAAATTCGTTAATAAAAGAAAGGTGAAGATAAAAAAAAAAAAAAGAAAAAAATGAGAAAGGAATGAAGATGATGCAGTTTTTTAATCTTCGTGCTAAATAGCAATAGGCAAATTAAATGTTTTCTAAAGAGATACCGACAATTAATGCAAAAGTTTCTATCTGTTTCAGAAGTTGTTGCTTGTCGCTCTACTGTTTAATTTTCTACGCTATATAACTCTCGGTAATTATCCTTCCCTCTTTCTCTTGGACAAAGTTTTCCCTGAAATAAGATCAAAACCTAGTATCAGAATAAAGTCTCACTATTTTAACCAAGTTTCCAATATACACACAAGAATTTGTTATATACTCCAAAAAAAAAAACAAAAACAAAAAAAAATACAAGAGCTGTGCATTTGCAATATAGCTCACCCCGAATTAAGTATTTAACGAGTTAACTTAGTTTTACATAACACCACGTTCACTTTGGGCGTCTATTTTATCTCGGCGGAAATTTCGTTTGATTTTTGGTCTGTTATTATCGCCAATAATCTCGCATCGCTCGTTTCGTCAAAGAGGTCGAAAACGCAATTTACGCTGTGTTTCTTCTAAACCGATACGCGATTAATTCGCTAACGATACACACCGATAATTACAGGTCCCGGGTCTCCTTTGTTAAGCCGAGCTCGCGCGACCATTGGCTAAAACGTGAAGTTCCAGTTACATAACCGCCGCTCGGGTCGAGCCGTTTGCCTCTACTCCCCGACTGCGCGAATGCGCGACGAGGATGCGCTTTTTTTTTTCTTAGTGGCGAAACCATATATATACTCTATTAATTTCCGAAGCCTGAGTTTTCGGAGTTTTTATTAAGCCACGTTTATTATGACATCCGTTGCGCTAAAAAAAAAACCGATTAGTTAAAATTACTAATCTCGAAGTAAACGTATTAACTTTTATTCGTTCTTGCGTGAGTCTCTGGTGTCTCCGTTGTTATTATACATGTAAAATTGCGCGGTATTTATGCGTTTCCCAATCGCCGACGCATCTATCGAAGTTACAAGAAATATTCAGAGAGAGAAGATTATTCACATCGACGAGAGCGCATTTACTACAACCTGACGTACAACTGTTGTTCTCGATTTCCGGAAAACTTAGCATTTGTATACATAATTCTATTACTACCAAAATCGTTCCTAAATTCACTAGGTTTGAAAATTTATATTTGGGTCGTTTTTTGGTTTCGTTGAAATTGATGGTCACACTAGTTTGCTGAAAAAGAACAAACCAATTGTGTTTTGAAAGGAAAGGTCCAAGTCACTCTACAGATGAGTCATGCTACAATGCATGCTTCTATCTTTATTCCTCGTAAAATGCAGACAAAGATGAAATGATGCTTCCAATTTGTAGCACTGCACTCTGCCCAAACGATTTTTGTTAACAGCAGCGCATGCTGTTTCAAGGATATACGTGGTTCCAGCTTACTCGATCACGAAGATAGGTCGTGTTCACAATGTTTAATCTTATTGGTCGTACTCGACCAACGTGAAGACAGAATATTGCAGATCCGAATCTTTGTTGCGATACCTGCAATGTAACTCCAACCTGATGACAAGTTCTTATATTTGAAACTACGTTGACCTCATAAGCAGATGCAATATCACTTTATGTGTATAAATATGTGTGTTACAATTGAAAGAAATCAGAAGAGAGAGAAGAAAAATCTGTCAAGAAAATCGACTGAAGAGAATAGAATCAAGAACAATGTATGTATTCTCGTATATTCTTATTGCTAGTTATAGGATTTCTGTTACGAGTTTCCGTCAGAAGACTTGGCGACCTTGTGCGTATGTGATCTAATGAGATAACTTTATCGAATTATCTGAGAGAAAGAAGAAGAATATATATACATATATGTCGGAAGATAAAATAAAAAGAACAAAATAAGTTTTCTTTACGTAAGATAAAATAAGCAAATTATATTTCTCTTTCAATCAACATGTTTTTAAACAGACAGATAATAACGGATTATTAGAAAAAAAATCGATTGTTAGAAAAAAAAGATTGAATTTGATTCTTTTTACATAGAAAGAATGAATCATTATGAAGCAAGCGCGTGTTGCAAAACCACCACCACGTGATACTGCAAGCGTTGCTTGCTATGTGCTGGTTTACATTCATCTAGTCGACAACCATCTCTACGACAACTGTCGTCATCTTTTTTCATCGTGTAGAGCTGTGCTGTGTGTTATCTCTTCCATTTAGAAAATAAAGCCTTGGGACTGCCTCAAGTCGTAAATACTCGTAAACGTTTTCGTTAAATCGCTACTTAACACTTTGATGTTAACTTCCGGGTTTTTCGCAACAACTTCTGCGACCACATGGTTTCGCCGACAAGCCGACGATATCGACTATCGTCACAATTATAACTTCGTTCTCTCCGTCTCTCTCCTTCTCTTTTTTTTCTCTCGGTTTTTATTAATCCTAATCCTGATCCGGACCGAGTTTTTTTTGACATTCCAAAAGTAAACTTACGAGCTTGTGGCGCCATTATTTGATTTTAAGGAAGAGTGGAATAATTTTGCACCAATTCTGGTATCCTCTTTCGAGTGTCTTTTTGATATTTTGATTATAGGTTATTTTTAATAACAGAAAATTCTTTACACAATTTATATTATTATTATCGTTATGATCAGGATTAGGGACAATATCGTAGCATTGTTTAACGCAATTGCTACAAATAGTGTCAGAATTAAAATTTGCGGAATTTATTGTATTTCGTACGTACCAACGCTTGGCGTATCATCACTTTGTGCAATACATCATCATCACGTTTCGCTCCAAGCTCCGGAATACTGAAAATCAAAATCAGATTGATCCATCGAGATGTACAGTTTATTACATATTAATTACCAGTATTTTTTTTTTTTTTTTTTTTTTTTACCAAGTGCAAAGTATTCTCTCGCGGAATCGGATGCTCACTTGTCATACTGTGCGGCCGGGTATCGTCATTTGCGATGCTTCCAGTAAAGAACGGCAACATCGCACGCACACACATACCGCGCACAACACACAGTTTTGTCGGACACACCGCTGCTCCGCGCCGACGACGGAGTCACCGACTTTTCGAGGCCACTTCTCTTGCAAATCGCTCCGTGTCGATTATGGGCGCGCGATCTATCGGCGCCGCGAGATACGAGCTCAAGGACGCGCCTTTCCGCGCGCGCGCTCGCGCGCGCACGGGCGACCGTGAATTCCGGCCGGTAACATAGGAATTCCGTGCTCGTGACCGTCTAAGAGACAGAGAGAGAGAGAGAGAGAGATGAGATCTTCTCTGGCGCCGTATTTGGATCGTCCGAATAAACAGTAATTCGCAACACATAATCGGCCGTTCACAGTCTTTCCGCGAAGTAAAGCTCCTAGAGCTAGAGAAATTTATTACGATATCGAAAATGTGAAATACAGGTTCTCGCGGCTTTTATTGAACAAACGCAATACACAACGTGTATTTACAAGTTGTAATAAAATGGAATCTAGAGCCCCGTTTTTTTTTTTTTTTTTCAATCTCGCTTATAACGCGACTTACGTAACGCGGCATTTCTGTGGAACGGAATATCCGCGTCATACGAGAGTTTACCTGTAATCTAGAAATCTGGTTATTCATTAAGATCAAGTTTAAATTCCTCCATAAGAATGAGCAGCCCGCTCCTCAGAATGTTTTTAGTATAGAGAAACACACCGCGTTAAAGGGAAGGACTTACTCGCGCTCTTACGTCGTTTCTTTAAATTACGTCGGGAATGATAATGAAGATGTTCTTGATCATCGGAAACGGGGGGAGAGGGAAAAAATTAATGTTGAACGCGCGGCGCGATTGAATCGTTCGTTTCTTTCACGCTCTCTCGCGAGGAGAAAGTACTTCGACGCGATTCTTTAACGATGATCGCATCGGCTGACGTAATTACGTCACTAATCGTAATGCCCAATTTGATGTCGCGTAATTTGCGAGTTTACGCGCCATTTCTCTTCTAAAAAGTTTTTTTCATTTATTGAGGCGAATTAGCGCCGTATCTCATGCGTATACGATGCGATCGCGTTGGCGCGTGTTCTAATTTAAAAACCAGCTCCGAGTTAAATGGCTTTTACACCACGACGACTTTCTTGACGCTTCGGACAACTTCCTAAATACTGAGTAGTGTCGTTGTTTCGTTAGCGGTCTGACGTAATGACGGATAACAGACGCGCACGATGGCTAATGGACTGTGTGCGCATACAGTACAAAAACTGAACAGCGCGTAACAAGACATACGCACGTTTTTTTTTTTTTTTTTTTTTTTTTTTTGATCAAGTATAATTTGAATGATCAGCTCTCAGCTCTGCGGTTAGCAAAGTAAAGTTCACAGCGTGTACCATTTCTTTTCTTCGACTAAGATACAAGAATAAATCGGATATTGGATAATCGAGGACAAAACTTTTTTTTTTTTTTTAAATAAAACCCACTTTTTTTTTTTATAAAAGCTAATAAGTTCGCTTTTCGAAGTCGACGAAATTCGAAATTTCTGTTTTTATTCTCTCAATTTTAATTATTTTTCCGTTTCCGATGCTCTTTCGTGATTATTCGTCGCAGTTTGCAATTAATGACGATTATTTGCAGCGTCATTAACGCAACTCATGGTGTTTCTTTTTATCTATCATCTGTCGCATCGATATGTCGCGTGTCTTTCGCCCATTTATTCGCGCTTTCATGTGTCATTGTTGTTGCTACCTATATACTCCAACATGTGAACAAATCTCCTTGGATGTGTAAAAACAAACGTCGTGTGTCCAGCAATAAATTGCAATTTCACCGCCGACACACGCAAAGTGGATTATTTGTATGTTTCGTCGTATCTCTGGCGGCGAGATACTATCTCTCATCAGTTTACTGATCCCGCGCGCATATCGTAAAAAAAAAAAAAAGTGGTGCGTATCTTGGTCGTTGAACGATGATGCGTATCGGCAAATTCGCCACTTAGCCATTCGTCTTGTTAGTATATTTTTGTACGTTTTGTTTTATCGCGCGCCGCTATATGCACGCGGAGGAGGACGATGCGCGCGAAGAGCACATTTGCGATATGCGACCGGTACACGTGTCGAAGTCACGTCATCGAAACAAATCTGTTACCGGTCTGTAATGCGGTATTTTTTATAGATATGAAAATAGCGCGTCATTTACTTTCTCGCAAATTCTCAAAGGAGTTATATTAAGAAAATAATAATCGCACGCAGTTTGCATAGAAAATCGTCAACAAGCAAATTTCATCGTAATCAAAGTGGAAAATGAAGCTTCTTGCGATTGCACAAAAAGAGGGCAATGCGTAACATGATGTTGTGAACGTGTGTAATTATAGAATCAAAGTGCACATTGCGCGTAATCTCTGTTGAAGTTAATTTGCATTCAAATATTTTCGAGTTGAGACACACGTGCGTGCGTTTCACATTTGAACGAATTTAAGATAATTGCAAAATACACAATACGCTCTTGACAATCGAACAATCGATGAAACCGAGATCGCAGAGTGTCTAAAATAAAAAAAAGTGCAAATGTTTTTTTTTTTTTTTGGTAATTACCGCTAAATATAAATAATATTCAATCACAAAAACTTTCTATACTTTCTATCCACTTTGTGTAACATATCGCGTTGAATCTTCGATTTCGTTGCGCGCGATAAAAGTATTTTGCGTATTTGCGCCGTGTTGCTCAAAAAACACGAGCGATCTTGCAAATTGATCTCGAGTTTCGAAGAAATCTGTTTTTTTTTCGATGTGTGCGAAACGCTTTAAACGCATAATGTGCACTCCGAGCGTGTACGCACCGAAGTCTAAATATTCATGCATCATGACGGTTATTCGAGGAAACGACGACGATGACTCAAAGCAAAGTGATGTGACAACTTGACAGTTTCTATATACGTTCGACGCCGATTCCGAAAATTCCTGAAAATCGATTTATTGATTTCCAAGCGGTCTGAATATTTTTAAATATAAAAAAAGTTACTTCGAAAACATGTAACGTAAGCAAAAATGAAAATGTTAAAAGTGAAAGGTAGTGATTAATGGCGTTAAAAATGCGCAAAGTGCAAAAATTCTCGATCGTCATTGTGAATCATTGTGATCGTCATTATTTTGCTTTTTTTTTGTTTTTTTTTTGCAGCTTCGGCACTTGACGCAACAATCAGAGGGTTCCAATAATCTCGTACAACTTAGAGAAGTCTCATCGACAAATTCTGGTCCAACGATAGTGTCCAACGAACATTTGGCTTTTACTCTTGAGGTTCGTATCGTGTCTGATGTTAAATTTCTCGATGGATAAATTTGCGAATATTATTTTTATGTGACGAAAATTAATGTAATCAAAAGTAGAGTGATTGACTATTCAAGGATGAGAGTATTTTAAAAAGTCGTTTTTTATCATGTCTTTTTTCCGCACAGGCAATAGACGGCTTTCTATTCTGTGTAAATTTGGAGGGCCGTGTGACACACTGTACGGAGCATATAAAGCACTACCTAAATTACACGAAGGACGATGTAATCGGAAAGGATATTTACAACATAATTCATCATGGAGACCATAACACCTTCATGCCTCCTATGTCTTCGCCTACGTTAGGTGTGTATCGCAATTGCGCAAATGCCAATATCGTAAGCGTAACTCCGCGTGCTAGCGCTTTTGATATTAAGTTTTTTTTATACACGTCTTGTGAAATTCAAAAAGTTATTATTATTATTTTTTTTTAAATCTATATTTGCAAAATAATCTCTGCAGACTGGAGCGAGTCGCAATTTCCACCTCGAAACTTTATTTGCCGCTTCTTGGTGAAGCCTCCCGATGATAAGGACGAGACTATGGAAGAGAAGCAACAGCGTGTATCGAAGTACGAGTCTTATAAAATACATACTGTTGTGAGGAAAAGCGACGACGTGTCCTCCGATTCATCAGACGGTATTTCAATGATGTGCGTGGTGCGCAAAATACACGAAAAGCCCCTTGGTACCATCGAGCAATTTACCATCAAATTGGATACCACCGGGAAGATTACCGCGATCGACGTCAGTGGATTGTCCTCCAGTTACTCCCAGTACCTAAACAAGGTAAAGGACTTGGCAAATCGTCGTCTCACGTCTTGATTAACGTACATATTCGCAAAATCAACGGTGATTGTGACCGTTATTTGAAATGACTAAAGCGCAGTAGGGAGTTGCAGTCGAAAAAGAGACGCGAATTTTCTTAGATTTTTTTTTTTTTTTTTTTTTATTACAATGTTAAATTGTTTTCTCAGAAAGTTTTAAAAATATTTCTCTAATTTAACTTAATGCATTTATATGTGTATATTAATGTTTGTCGGTAGAAAGTTGTCTCTTCTTTGACGCACCCACTTATCGAGTGGGTGCAAGTTAATACCGTCAAATTCACGAAACGATTTCTCTTACAGGACCATCTGGTAGGCACAGCACTTAAGGACTTGTGCCATCCCCAAGATCTCAGCACGCTCACGAAGCATTTGAACGATACGCTCCAAGTCGGGGAAAGTATGAGCAATGTTTATCGAATACGCATTAGTCCTGAGAAGTTCGTCAACGTACAAACAAAGTCAAAATATTTCAAAACAAGTATAAACGATGACTTCGTGATGGCTACTAATTCCATTATCGAGTAAGTTACACATGTTATTTGTTTTTAATTTTTACGTATTTTAATTACATTTGTTAATGAGACATTACGCACACACAGACTTATTTATGTGTTACACAAATAATTACACATTCAGAAAAACATAACATTTGCGAGGGAAAATAATAATTTGAAAATTTAAAGACAAAGTATAGAAGAATACATTTTATGGTGTGTGGAATTTAGTTTGCTATTATTGCAATATTTTTTTTAACACAAATATATAAAATTGCACAACTAACTATCTATACAACCAACGACTTTGATGGATCTAATCACTAACGTTTCTTTTTCTAAGCGATAGAAATTATTATATCTTAAATTGTTTTTATAAAAATAGTTTGTAACCGTTTGAAGGAGAGTGTTAATATCGGGAATAATATATCTATTTAAAAATTTTCTATTATTTAATTGAGACTTTATTTTAAACTGTTTTATTTATGGACGCGATTAATTAGTTTTGAAAAATGTTTGATATGTACTAACAAATGTCGTTCGATCGGAAGAATAAAAAATAAGACCAACATCTCGGTTAAAAATAGGAGATTTAGAACACTTGCTGTTTTATATTTGATAAGCTAGTAAAAAACTGAACTGACATTTTTAAACGCGCAATTCAAATCGAACATTATCACCAATAGTATATTTGCTTTCTAACTCTATCATCTAAAAAACGCGATTTGAGTTTGAAGGTTTCTAGACTGTAAACAACGAGGGGTGGGAAAAGGAGAGAGTCGAAAATTAAGACACCGCATTGTGAGATCGTAGTTGTTCCGTGTGATTATAAATTTTCTCAGAATAAGGAAGAATTTAGTAGCAACTACAAATTCAAACTAGATACACGTTTTCTGATGAGTTTACGCGCTCTCACACCGTGAAAGATACGTGTTAGCACTTTTTTTATTAGCACAACAATGTTGGGTTTTTTATGCTAGAGATGTGTTGGCCACTCTTGTACTATCCTGATTTCTGTATCCTGACTCCTAGTTGCTTATGGCGTTTGAATTTGCTTTTTAATGTTTGAATTCAATAAAGATGCTTGTCACTTGCTAAGAGATCCAAAACCTTAATATCACTTGTTAATTTGTTTTCTAACACAAGTTGTGAATATACATATATATACATAAGTAAATTTAGTATATTTAACGTTGAACATTTTGCTGAAACTTAGTTACACTTTTTCTTTCTTTAATTTTAGGAACTTTTCTAAGATATGTGTCTCTTATATTTATATTGATCAAGTGCAATAAATCTTTGAAATTTAGATTTAATTATTGCTTCTGTGCTTTATAGAAAATGCTGCAGAATAATGTGTTTTCAATGTTAAGTTACTAAATGTCAACAAAGCCGAAGCGAACACGATATGCATTATATAGAAATTATGCTTAGTCTTAAGCTAGGGTGAAGATATGCAGCTAACTGGCAAATAAATGTGTTGTTTTGTTTCTTGTTCATGATAGGGATAATGAATTAACGCCTATCGAGGGTGGTCAGCTTTCCAACAGTAAAGTGTGCTCAGGATACTCCTCTAGTAATCGTTGTGCAAATAATAGTAATAATAATAACGGTAACAATAACAATAACGTTGGTAGCACGTTAATGTCCGCCGCGCATCTGAACGGTCAAGTGAGTGGTATCAGTGCTCGCGGAATGACGGCGGTCTCGCATGCTGCCACGTCGTCGAACTCTATCGCTTTTAGTGCGGGTGGTGCCGGCGGCGGCAGTGGCAATGGTGGCAGCGGCACCGGCGGCACTGGCGGCGGCAGTGATCCTCTCACGTCGTTGAGCACGTCCGCCGGCAATCCGTTCAACCAGTTTTCGGGGAACATGGATCTGGAATTCGAGCTCTTCCCCAGTTCCACATGGGACTTGGATAGTAGCGCCGGATGGGCAGATCGGCCAGAGTCGAGGGCGAGCGGGCCACCAAACTCACGGCCACCATCCCAGCCAGCGCCGACATCACCGAGTTCGCAGGGTACTTTCTCTAGCTCGGCGGTGGCTCCTCACTGCAGCCCCTTACGACCATTCAGCCCGAGCACTGTCAGCGCCGCTCACACCTTCAATAATTCGTTCCCATTTAGTCCTCTTCAGGAATCCACCCAGACGTCTACGTTGAGTGGTAATACCGCGAGCAGTGGCAGTGGGAATAACGGAGGAGCCAATAGCGGTGGAATCGGCGGTAACGTCGCCACTACGCCAGTGAAGACGGAAGAAGGCGGCAAGAACGGATGTCCTGCTAGCAACAACGGCAGTGGTAATATTGACAGTGTGACGAAGACCAATAGCGCCACCGCTGTCGAGACTCAAAACAGTAGTGTTGTGTCTATGGAGTCTGGCAGACTGAGAAACTTGTTAACCAAAGGCCCGAGCGCCAGTGAAGACAGTCAAGAAAATACGAACAATGATTCGGACAATCCGAACGATCACAGGATTCTTAAGATTCTGTTGAATCAACAGGACGAGGACGACTACCATACGGAGCACAAAATACGGAGCACGATTCCTAGCAACGTGCCAAAATCAAACATGGAGCATTCCAAGTCGTCCCTCGGAAATCACATGCTTCTCAAGGTAATGGCACTTTTAATGTGTGTATGTGTGTATGTGATTGCTCGTTTTAAAGACAAATTAAAACTATATAGGTCGTATTAAAAAAAACGCAGTTATTTGACAATTCACGATCGTTTTTCTATCTGAATTTTATCTTGCAGCTTGGATGCTCAGTAACTTAAGTAAGAAAAATATAATTGTCAAGCACTGTTTTTATTATTCACATTATTTCCATCAAAAAAACTTGCATTTAATGCAATCAAATTTTTAATTTTCTGTTATTATTTTCTGTTAAGTTATTAAATGAGAAGAATGATGACGAAGACGAAGATACTCGCGCGGGAATGAAGAAAAGGAACGAACTCTTACAGCAACTTATGAAAGATCAAGACGAAGATAGAAAGTTGCAAGAACAACAGGTTCTCTTCAAATGTTGATTTATTTTTTAAAGAGTTGAAATATTAAATTCAAAGGCTCATTATAAATTTCTTTATTTATAACAGAATCGAGAAGACTCCTCCTCTCATCGAAGAGATGAGTCTTCTCTCTTGCGGAGTCTCGGATTTGGAAACACGACACCATCTCCGTCGCAATCGGGTGATCATACCGGTCTTGGTAGCACGCAGGTAGGCCAAAAGAGACCGGGAGAAGATGACAGTACGAATGTAGCCCCAAAGCGATCTACGGATGGATCGCATCAAGTATCTTCCTCGGGTCCTCCTCCGAGTGCTACTGCGAGTAAACTATGGGAGAAGAATAAGATGTTGGCTTCCCTGCTAGCGAAAGAACCGCAGCCAGTCACAACTCTACCAGTAGCCATTGCCAAAACCGTGATAGACAGTATGCCACAGGTAAAATTTTATAGTCAAACATTTCTGATAATATTGCGACTACAATATCAAGTATATAATTGCTTACTTGATACATTTATTTATTAAAAAAAGACAATAATAAGACAGTTGACAGTTGACAGTTTGACTTTACACTCTACATAGATTTTTTAATAGATTGACCAAGGTATGAACGCATTATGGAGCGACGAACACGCGAATTTTCCACTACCTCTTGACTCTCCTCTTTTATAACATCTTTCATTTTTTGTATATTGCGACTGAAGATGGACTCAAGTACGAGCCAAAACGTTTCGCTTTAATGTAACGTTTAATGTAAAAAAGTTTTATTGTAAGAAGCTCTTTTTCTGTTATAATACATCTTATTTGTTGCTCGCTATTGGACTTAATTGTTTCAATTTTATTTATTTATTAATATACCTATGAACATTTATTTATTATGAAAAAAGGCAACGCCGCCAAATCTGCTGCAACAACAAAATCAACAACAATCGCAGCAACAGCAACAGTCGCAGAAACAGCAGCAGCCGCAGAAGCAGCAGCAGCAGCAGCAGCAGCAGCAGCAGCAGTCTTGGACTGGTGGCAGTATGCAAGTTGGCAGTAATAACGCGATTACGACAACTGCAATTGGGACGTCGGCACGTCCTCTCCAAAGCCAATCGAGACAACTACCTCGTCAAGCAACCAATACCTACCTCAGTCATATGCTAAGTCAGGTATATAATTGTTTTATTTTTTTTTCTAGGTTAGGTTATTTTAAGTTTTATTTTTTTTTCTAGGTTATTTTAATTTAATAAAAATATTGACTTACCTAGAAATTAATTGAAAACAATTGCAGTTAATAATTTAAAAATACTTAAACTTGTGTTTTAATTGCAGCAACAACAGAGGCCCCAAATGGGATTAATTGACTCCGAGTTTACGAGTAGTGGAGAATATCATCAGACGAGCACCGATCCAAACTGGAATCAGTCAGTAGACCCAGATCTCTCAGAAATACTAGATCAAGTTATTGAAATTGTCCCGGAGGAAGCTATAGCAGGTAATTATCTTGTTTGTTATTAGCATGTGTAAATGCTTTAGTCAATCTCTTTTTTGGAGAATGTAATGCAATTATATAAATTAATTATATGTGACGAAGAAGATAATTTATATTATTAAAGGATTTGTAGCATCTGTTGCAGCATCTCTTCTAGATACCATTGAAGCACCGGAGAACAACGTCATGTATCAACAGCTGGCAATTGACAGAATTCAGAAGTCGTTGATGTCATGCGAGACTGCCGTGAATTCGACGTCTTCCACCATAACTATGCCTGCTACGCCTCCAGCTTATTCTACCGCGGTAAGTTGTCATCTTCTTATTTCAAATGTTTCTCAGTCTATAGCGTTATGTCGCTAAAATTACAAAAAACATTGAATTGCATTTTAGTTGGTAACTGCGCCTGTGACACCCGTTACTAGTCACAGTTATCAACCACCTCCCATGTATCAACAGCCTAGAATGAGGTTTAACACTCAACCAGGAGTCAGAACACAAACCGCTCAGTTTACACAACAGCAGTTGCAGTTGCAACGTTCTAAACTTTTACAACATCAACAGCAGCAGCAGCAGCAGCAGCAACAGCTAAAGCAACGTTTGTTGCAACAACAACAGCAGCAGCAGCTGCTTATACCGTCGAATGCAACTGCTCCGGATCAAATCAGCAGCGGTATTCATAACATCGATAATCTTTTGAACAATACCGTTGCGCCACCAAATGTGACATTGCAGGTATGTGCGCGGTTTGTTTGTTTACTTACCTGACCTAACCTATAAAAGAAAAATATCCGAAAAATATATTTTATTTTATTTTTTATCACTTAAAATTTATCTAATTTATCTAATTATCTAATTTATCTATTTATCTAATTTATAAAAAATAACCAGTGCAAAAATATGGTTTTTATTTCTATTCAGCGATCGAGTGTCCCAGATTCACAAGTCTCTCCAGGTTATGGGGGATCCGTCCAAATGGCTACTGGTCATCGACTCGGTCACTCGTATTCCCATCCGTCAACGATGCCGCAACAGTGAGTATTCTATTGGAGTTCGGTTTTCGTTTGCGCAATCATAGAAAATAAAGATTTTCGTTTCTTTCTCTGTTTTATAGTTCTATTGTGAATAATAACTTCAACAGTGGTCAACAAGTGTCGGCCGCGGCGAGACTTTCGCCACATTCTCCGGCCGGTATACTGTCGTTCTCTCATCCACAACCATTATCGCCACGAGTGACGCAAGTAAGTGGTGATAAGGTTCTTTCGTGAGGTGTTTCGTGAAGTTTTTAATGAATAACAGCTAAAAGCTTGAATGATCAGTCGTACGAACGTTACGTTTGTAACTTACAAGCTTACATTTTCACTTTTTTTCTATTTTTTTTTGTACTGCAAATGTTGATTTCTTCGAGTTTTATACGTTTGAACGATATATGCGCTAGGGCAATTACGGCAACACACCGAGATTATACAACATGAATCAGGTGAGGCCGCAGCAGCAGGTCACGGCGCAACAACAGTTGCAGCAGCAACAGCAGCAAAGATCGATGCCATCGCCGGGGACACCAGCCTCTGCGCGGCAATCTCCTTTTCCTGCCGAAGCGTTTCCTCCACCCACGTCACCCACGGCCAGTCAATTTCCACCGGGTCCCAATACAGGTGCCCCGAACCCGCCAACCCAGTATCGGTTGCAACGAACAACATCCACGCCTTCCGCCACGACTCAATTGCCAGGTATGTATAACTTCTTATGTCAACAAATCTCCCCATCAGTTGTTAAGATTAGAAGATAAAATTAACTCTAGCCCTTCCCTCTCCCTTCTCCCAACGAACTCTGAATCTTGTATTTTGCTGTCGAAGCAATCCGTCGTGGTTAATGAAGTTAGAAATTAAAAGTGGTTGTATGGAGAAAGCTGTGATATCTAAGATTTCGTTACAAAATTATATCAAATATGAGGTTTCATATTACGCAGCGTGCGAAAAAATAATGTACACATTGTACATCTACTTATAAGAATTAGAAATAAGAATAATCGAAAAGTCGTTTTACCGTCAACGTCTATTTATTAATTAATTGATTTTAATTGATGTAATAAAAAAAAGAATGAGACATATAAAAATAATTTATTACAAGCTTTTTCTAAGTTGTTACCTTTTTATATAGAAGGTATTAAAGTTTTTATATCGGTAAATCGACTTCTCTTGGTATACTGTAATGTGATATAAGATATTTATTTGTTACAAGCGGTTTATTATATATTTAACGCGATGTAAAATCGAATTTCTTCGCTCTTAGATTGTAAGATATTTGAATTAGTATTAGAACCTTTGTATATATTAGTTTTAAATTAAATCTCGATGAAGAATGCGAAGAATTTTGCGTGTACGGGTAAGTTTTGTGTCAGTAAGTATATTTACAAACTAAGATTAACTTTAATCTATTAAATAGTGAAAGCCATGTGCATAGAGATTAGTCCGGTATGCGCATAAATAGTACTTTTTGTGCCTGTATCTCTCGGTGTTTTTATGTAAATAGGAGTTACGTGATATTGTTGTGTCATATTGAATTTTCTATAGAAGAAGCAAGTATCGTAACTCAACTATTCTGAGTAATTGCGGCAGGTTCAGCATAAAGTTTATGAGTTTTAGTTTTTCAATAATTTATGATTGGAACAGTGTGTTTACATTAGAAGTACAATTGAAATGCTTACTTATCTCTCTTATGATATACTCTTCTCTCTCATATACTATATCTCAAACACGAATGTTTTTTTTGTCTTTTGATTAATATCCAATCATAAAGAAAAAACTGTCTATGTAATACTTGCAATCAGCCAAAGAGGCACGAGAGTTTTATAGCGTGCGATTACATTTGCTTTTAGCTTCGAGCCGAAACAGAACCGAGTTTTCCGAGTAATGCTCTAGCTGGTTATTTACTTTATTCAATGTATAGATATTTCGATCTTTCTCTCTTTCTCTCTCTCTCTCTTTCTCTCGGTATTATGTGCGTGGCTATTTGACACTAAGCGCTGGCATGGTATATAAGAGCGAAATAGCAAAAGGGCAACCGGATATACGATTGATGTTGCAGGTGGAATCGGCTCGCCTAGGCATTACGGAGGAGTGAGTAAGGATCCTCTTCTATCACCTAGTCATTCACACTCGGCTTGCCCGGCGACACCTACACACAACCAACAACATAATTGTGCCACCAACACCCAACACTTTTCCAGTCAACAACATACATCTATGCTATATCAACAACACACTAACGCCAACACTATCAACACGGCAGACATGCAGAACAGTCAGTTCTGTTACGATCGATCATCAGTCCCGCTCTATTCGTCTGGCGGGGAGGCTCAGGATGCGAGGTCACTGCCTCCCGGTAATCCTGTCAATCACCAAATAGGTGGTAAGTCATGTGACTTATTAATGTCATGTGACATAATATCATTATCACCACCATCATCATCACAAGTTGGTCTTTTAGAACAAGCAATGCAACGTCGTACGAATAATAAAAATCTTATAGAACACTACCTCATTACGATATTGCAAAGCAGAATTGAAAGGGTTAAGGTAGAGACCGATCGATTAATTTGCTTTCGAAGAGATCGAAAGGATCAATACTTATGTTTGCCATTCTACAAAGATAAGCGATCAAAGAAAACAATCAAAAACAAAAAATTTCTACCAAAGTAAGTAACTTTTATATATCGAAGACTATTCTAGTCTTGTCTAGTCGCTTTAACGACTTCTCAGGTTGTGAGAAATTAAGAACACGTGATAAAACGATAATCTTCCTATTCGGAAACGATGATGAAACAAATAAAAGAATGAGTGAGACAGAGCAAAAAATAGATAGCTCGTCTCGGAGCTGCCAAAAAAAAAAATTCAAACTTTTATGATTTTTTTCTTTGTAATGATAATGATAAAGACAATTTCTTAATTTAAAAAATTGATATCTTAACGAGGTGGTAATATACTCTGTATTATAATTTATAAATGATATATATCTCCCCTTCGAACACCTAATTTAACGTTACTAGCAACACTTTTGTTAGCACAAGAATCTGCAGCAACACGAAGCAACAACGAGGGCGGGTGTGCAACGCATGAATTAACTAATTGTGCATAAAACCTGTTCTTTGTTTATCTTCTCTCTATTTCTTCTTCTTCTCTTTTACTCGTCTTTTCTTTTATGACATCCAGCAAATAAACATGTATCAAAAAAGAAATTGTAATCGAACGAGCAAAGACGAAAGTATGACATGAAGTCAAACACAAAATAGATTTTTTAAAACAATTTTTCAAAATACTAAATAAATCCTAATATGATTTTAGGATCTAATATTGCTTTTTTTAGGAATAATAATAATATTTCTTTTACTAATAAAGTTTATAATTTTTTAGTTTTTGAGATGCCCATTGTTTTTTTTGTATCTTTTATTATATTGTTTAGCATAAAATGTCTATGTATGTAAAAATGAAATCTGATTTTTCTCGATGATTTAAATAGAAAAAAACGAGAAAAAGAAAAGATTAAAAAGGAAATGCGCAAATCACTATAAACTCACAGAACTACATAAAAAAATTAATAATATGTGTGTTAAATACAACTAGTGATTAGTGTTGTAATGTAGATCTTAAAGATAATGAATATATGTGTTATTATCATAAATATTTTATATATGCTTTTTTTTTTTTAAATGCTAGTTTCTAGTTTGTGTAAGCATAGTGATATGTGTGCTCAATGTTGCATGACGCTTCATAGTCATTTTAAGTAACGCTAAATATCATTCCTGTAATGCTAAATATCTCTTACAAAGTATTTTTACACATCTCTGATATTTCACTCATGTTATGTAGTACAATAATTTTATATCACATATATTGTAACATATAGTATACACACATCATTATCACCAAAATCATTACATCAATTGCGCTACTTACACATTAATTAGAAATATAAAAAGCATTGTTTACCAAATTTACAGAGCGGTTGCCGTTTAAATCAAATTTTTTATTCCATAAATAATTCTGTAAATTTAGCCACGTTTATAACTTTGACAAAACAAATCTTGGTTTTTTTTTAAAATATTGGTTTTATTTTCAAAATATTTAAGTATTCTGAATAATGTTAAAGAAAGAAAATTGAGAGAAAAAACGAGTTACTTTTAGCCAGTATGAAGACATATAAATTGACTCGCAACTGCCTTGTAAATTTTATTAATTAATCAGACTGTATATTTCTGGTTTTTACGCGGTGTTAAATCTTCTTTACTATCAAGTTTTTTCGTACTATAATTTATCTCTTTGTGACTGTTATACTATATTTTATACTCTTGAAGTACAACATTTTTTATAATCGTGTCATTTGTATTCTAACATTTTTTATAATCGTGTTATTTGTATCCTATCAGCTTAATTTCGACTCCATTAGTATATTTACTTCTAATTCGACTGTGAGAAAGATTGTTTCTGTGATCGATCTTATGGTTTTGACTGTGCGAATGAAAAATGAGCGATACTTCTTTTTTGTTTTGTCAAACATCGTTCATCTTCCGTTCGCAAATATTTTTTGTATTGTGTCACTTAAATTTTGTGATAATGTATTGCTAAAGCTTTTTTTTTGTAATATTAGCAATCATTTTATTTATTCTTGCTTTCATTATTTCTTATTGATTTCGATTATTCAATAGTTCTACATTTTAACTAACGTAAAAGAAACAAAAAAAATTATGTAAAATAATTTTTATAATATATGTTATAACATATTTTTGTATTTTTACAAATATATTTTTACAACATCTAAAAATGTTGTAAAAACATACTTTTGTAACGTTTTGAAAATGTGCGATAAATTTTTAAGTCGATAAGATGACCGTGATAAGAGTTGTCTAATTGGATGCTCGCGAGCTTACCTCGCTCTTTAGTATTATTTAGGCCCAATTTTTTTATCTTCTAGATAAGTTCTCAGACACTTTATCGAAAAGATAAAGTATATATAAAGTATATATTTTTATATATCTTTATCCAGAGAATACAGCTATCGGAATAAGATATGAAGAAATCAGTTAGTCAATTTGTTTTGTGTACTTACCGTTCGATCGTTTGCTCGCGTAACGTCACAGATTAGACAGCTCGTGTATAAAGACAGAAAATAGCATTGTATAAGTAATTTAAGAAGAGTTCCAATATCACAGTATATTTTTGTCTTGTCCGATTGATTACCCGAATACCATTCACAATATGTGATCACAAAATTGAACGTTATGGTATGACAGTATGGCGCTTGTGTTTCATTACAAATTGCGTAACAATATCGTATACGATAGAATATTTTCTTAGTAGTTTATATAATGTTTTTTTCAATACCAAATTTTGTTATTACAAAGTTGCGATTATAAGAGACAAGTGATATATGTTATATTGAAAAACCTTTTCATTTTGTTTTTTTTGTTTTTTTTTTTTTATTGATTGAATAAAATTATCTAAACAAGTCTTATGAGTATACTACATTTGCAACGTGTGAGATAACCTGATAAGAAAACACGCTGCATTAGAAAAAAGGTGGTTCCCTTTCTAAGCGCCGTTCTTTCTCATTTGCTGAGAGCTGAAGTAAAATGTTGTTACGCAGCTTGATTTTTTTTTCTGTCAGTATGTCTCAATGCACTGAATCATCAATAGAACCACTTGAACGTTGCAAATGTAGTACTGTACAATTTTTTTTTATTTTTTATTTGCACATGACCATGAACAAGTTACCTTTACCACAAATATCTAAACATTGCGAAAACGGGAGGACAAGTTTCACGATGCGTTGATATAAATTATATATATTTATTGTGTATATAAATAATATTTCGTCGATGATCGCGTGAGAGACATATAAAAACGACATTTCGCACGAAAAGAAATTTGTCCTTTCACCTCGTAATTCTGAATCTAGAAGTAAATGTAAAGATTCGACTGCATTGTAATTCAATATTGTAGTGGGTAAGTGGCCTGCATTAGAAGATCAATTATGATGTCGAAGTCATTACGGTAATTTCAGAAATACGAGAAATAAATTTATATGCAGTAGTGCCTCGAAATTTTTCCGCTCGCGGAAAACCGAGAAGCGGAAAAATTTCGAGGGAGATATGTGTGTGCTTCAAAAATTGCCGGCTGTTATCTCTGATTGGCTTGACTACGGGCTCGACTACCGCCGCAGAGTTCTTCCTACCAATTTGCGCGAAGCCTCGGCGAAGCACTTCTTCGGGAATTGGCGAAGATGACTTCCGAAAAAATATCGAGACAAAAATGCGGAAAATTTTCGAGGCACTACTGTATGTATTTTTTTGGTTCACATCCCTCTGTTTGTGAAAAGCGCTAAACTTGAGAAATGTGATGTCTGGGGTGGGTGGGGATTTTTGTATTTCACATCGCGATTCATTTTCTCATCATCACATTCTGTGTTCATCTGTGTAATATAACATTTCGATGTAAAAACAAAAGGAACAAAATCGAGCACCGCTTATATTTCTACGTGCTGTGGAAACATTTTTACTAACAACAATGCCTCTTTATGTACAGTGCATTGAGCTTCCGTGATTAATATGTTTATATTTTGTGCATTTTTCTGTCTACATCGAATTCTCATTTAATCATAATCAGATTATACGCATCATTTCAATCTCGTAAAAGATTGAAAACTTTTGTGAGAACGTTCTCATTTTTTAAATATACACATACAATAAATCGTGTATCACACAAGTTTTCACTCACAGTTGTGCAGATATCAGAGGCAGAATACTGTATCAATAATTACAAGAAATATATACAAAAATAATTTTCTATCCTATATTATAAAGATACGAAAGCTCATTTTTTTATATCTTTATAGTCTTTTTTATTTGAGTCAAAAGTAAACATAAAATAGCAGAACTATTGGGCTGTACAAGTGCAGTATTCTGTGCGGTGACTAGGGACGAGCATCGAATGACACGTGTCTGTGTTTTATCTCATCTCACAACCGTTGGTACACTGATTCGGCAACACTGATTTTCTCGTACTGCCGAGTCAGCGTCACCCAGTGCGCACACCGCGGAAAGTTACTGCTCGTCAATTGCGAGCAGTAGTTGAACGCACAAATGACATTCTTTATGCTTTTTGCATTAAGCAATCGAATTCTTCCGTTCTATATGAATATGTGTTTCAAATCTCGATAAATATTTTTAACAAGTTCCGTGCCGAAATTTCTAGTTTGCTTTTTTCCATATAATTTTCTTGTTCACGTCACTTTCGACCGCCGATAAGCTACTGACTTTTCTACGTTAAACACATTATCATCGATAAAGGATGATTCGAGACAATTCTTAGCAAGAACGTGTTAAATAAAGAGATTCTGCTAATTAAAAAAACAAGATTAGAGACAGAATAACGCACAGAGAAACGAACACGGAGAAGTGCGATGCGCACAAGAGTAATGCGACTCGTATCGTCACAATATCTCGTTTATTATTGATCTTCTTGTTATAGGCAATGCCACGTCGGAATTTGTGCGGCAAGAATTGAGGCGGGCGATTGTTGGCGCGCGAACGCAACAGCAGCAGCAACAACAACAACAGAGAGTTCCCAACAACTTGCAGAACAACCTTTCTGGTCAAGTTTCTCAGGACGATCTCGAAGCGCTCGGTCTGACGTTCGAGATGTCTTCTGCAGGTAACATTATCCAAATACCGCAGAACATACCCTTTTGCGCTGTGTTTCGAAATTTGAAACCATCCGGAAACTCTATTAACTATCCGAAATCGCATAGAGAAGCTCAATTGAGAAAAGCTACGAATATTATAAGCTCACATAGCATATAATGGGGATTTAAAGAAAAAGCGCGTTTTCATGTAGCTATAATTGTTTTGTTGACATATATATATATATATATATATATAATCAGTGAGGCACACGTACAAAACATTTCCTTAAAATTTCGATTTCTCTTCAGTATGCTTTACTTCGGCATACATTTCTTCTTTAGAAGTTTATTCAGTCGAATTTCAATCGTGCAAAACCCGAACGTTGCAATTCTGAATATTGATTAACAGAGTTTTATATTTTATAAAAAAAATAAAAAGACAAGATTGCATAAAGTAAATACTGTGAAAAAGTATTGCAAACGCAATTTGTATAATTTCTCCTTTTTGTAGTTCACGCACATTTTTCTATAGATTCTCGTTGTCGCACGTATTACTAATTTATATTTATCAAGACGCATCTTATCAAGACCCCCTGTATTTCTTCGTACAGTTTTTAAAAATATTCATTGTGTTTTTAAATTTATTTTTCTCTCATTAAAACAAATGAATTGATTCGATCATATCGCACTTTTTGTCTTAAAAAAGTTGAGTAAAGTAATTTCGTTCTCTGCGCGAATCTTAAAAAATATATAGAACGGAAAGCGAACGTCGAAATTCTAGAGAGATCGAATACAATCGATCGGTCTCCCGCGGTCTTTTGCAAATCCTTTCACGAGAGTGTTCTCTGATTAATCGAGAATCGAAAAACGTCAGCGTCAATATATACAGGCTGAAGCATGCGCGATCTCTTCTTGTATAAGAAAAGGCATAATGTTTTTTTCTACAAAGACTGTGGTAACGCCTACTGTTACGATGTCCCAACTAGGTGAGGCTGTGGTTAACGATGGCCCCGCCAAGAGCTGGGCCATTGGGAGCGCCGGAAGTGCCCCCTCATCCTCCAGGGTAAGAACCCCGTTCCGACAATATAATTAATTTTACGTACTTTTTTGATTTTGTTATGCTATGTCTTCCCTCTATACGCTTGGCTTCAGAACTTGACTGTGCACGAAATATGTTTAACGATCTCTATCTATCTATCTCTACTTGCGCACTGAGCGTAAAACTTGTAGAGATTTATTTATCTTTTATTTTATTTTACTTTATTCTCTTTAATTTTAGAGTGCTCTCTATCTTACTTTCTACATGTGCATGCGAAGTCGTCGCAAATTGGCGATTATATATTTCTCGTCATCATCGCATTGTGATGATACTTTCTCGGATGTTTCCGCAATGTTTGCGTAGTAAGAAATATATTCTCTTTTTTTTTATATATATTAGCAAATCAGACTATTAATTGCTACACGCGCGAGAAATTTTCTTAAAAAGAATTTAATAGCGAAACAAATTCTCCCAATGTTTCAGACGCGATTTTGTAGTTCTGGAATTTATTCTATTTTTTATTCCATTTTATTCTTTTTATCTATCTTTGTTCCTTTGTAATTGTATTCTTCTTACGTATATCGTATTGGAATTTTCAGAATTTTTCTCAATAAGAAAACAAAGAAACTTTGTCTTTTTTTTTTTTTTTTACAAAAGTTGACAAGAATCTCTTTTTGTTAATTATAAACAATTCATGCGCATTAATGATATATATATATCATATAAATTTAAGTTTTACACTCAGTGTTTTGCACCAATAAGAAAACTGCTGTTGTTTTCTTTTACATGTAGCTGTATCTAAACAAAAAAAAAAAGCTGATTTTTTTATCACGCCAAGTAGACTTCCTTTAGAAGTGGACCTTATCGAGGCTAATGGAGCCTCCGCTGTCTGCATAACGTTTAAGCGCGTTTCACGAGTTGCATTACATTTTGTGCAAAGAACTAAGTGTACTTACTCGAGGGCTAGATTAAACTGTAACTTTTCATTTTCATTTCTCCGTTCTCACACAAGGCGTAACACGAGCTAATACAAACTGTGTGACAAATGTAATTCGGTCTAATACAGTTTGTAGTTTTTTTTTCCTCATTTTTCTCGGATATAATTCTTGAAAGAAATTCAAGAACACGTTACACACACACACACACACACACACACTTGTTCCCGAATACGAGCTATACTCGTGAATCGGTGCCAGAGCAAAGCGTTTTCTTAGCGTATCTACACAGGGTGATGGTGTCGTATAAAGCTTCAGCTCATTTGGAAGTAATCGTACTACCATTTTGTATTGTATAACGTATGTCTAGTATCGTAATGCTTTTTCACAGTAAGCCAACCTAGATATCTTCGCGTAGATCTTAATTTCTTTTTTTTTTCTTTTTTTTCCGAGAACGACTGTTCTTGTTGCATGAGGTACTCGCTAGTGCTACAGAGAGAAAGGTGTAACGTTAGAGAGTGTGTTTCAAGTTACACCGCTCCACAGATGTGTAACTGAATTGAAAATACACTCATAATTGGCAATTAATTCTGTTGAAACGAAACTGCTATAGTAGCGACCATTGTTGTTGCATTGAGATATTGGATGTGTAGTTGCTATGTGGCTTCAATATGATTCTGTTCTTTCAGTTCGTATCAGGACGAAATAGATAATGAGATTCACGCATCCGAATACTAAGGACTTTCAAGTATTCTGATGCACGGATCTAAAATTAATTTAATCTTAAAATATTTTGCCAAAAGAATAATTATAGAACTCATATAAGCGAATGTCATACAAATGAGGCCTAATCATAAAGCTGCGGTATTGATATTCTAAACTATTTTGAATTAATTTATATACTTCAGTTTATATATATATGTGAATGACCGAAGAAACGCAACAGATTATTTATTTATCAGATCAGATTTCAAACCGATTGACGAGGAAATTAATTCCACCAGATCTTAATTGTTTTTTATTCCTTAGATTCGATTTATTCTTTGGATTTTTAAATTCTTTGCTTTAGAAGTTGTCGATTTTGAATTTCATCAATTTTTCAGAGAAGATTTATATCTTGTGTCAAAAAAATCTTCGATCGACATGTTCGCGAATGTTACATTGCTCAATAATTTTGTGCAATCGGTTTCGAAATCCACGCTGCGTTCATCGATATAAAACAGCAGTTCTAACGAAGTCTCCAATGTTGATTTCAGACTACTATGGAGGAAGTGGCACGAGGTGATCCGAAGTCGTCGTTGCTGCAGAAGCTATTGTCCGAGTGACTGCAGGCCACTATCCCGTTGCGCAGTGAAGGATTACATGTAATATAGATTTGAGCGTACGGAGAGCGAAACACGGAGATGTAGGACGTAAAAGAAAAAACAATGAGCAAAAGAGAGAATGTGTAAGTACGTGAGAGAAGAAGGAAAAGAGTTATAAAATACATATATACACTCTTATACGTAATGGATACTATTGTATTATATGTAATGCCACACACGGGAGTCAGTATTCATATACGTATCACCAAATACAATGCAAAAACTAGCGCGCGGTGCTCTCTAGAATGCGTTTTGTTCTTTGTTCAATCGAGAAGCGAGAACGAGCAAAGCTCTCTTTACATTCGACAAATATTCAACACAAAAGTAGAATAAAAAATGTAGTTGTGTTTAATATTAATGTATTAAATAAACAAATGCAAAGTGAAGAGAAAAAAGTATAACTGTCTACAATTGCATAAACTTATTATCTTTTTTTCGACAAACGGACTCCGGCCAATCTTTACAAAGAGTCTTTTCTCGTCATGCTCGTTCTAGCTTCGCACGACTGAATGTCGTAGTATATATTATATATATTGGTATATAGGGTGCGGCAGGAATAAAATTTAAAAAGTTACACTCTCTTCCATTTAATAAAGCAAAGTAAATGAAGTTAATGATATAAGATCATTAATAAAATTGTGTGAATATGAGAGTTTTAACAATTTTATTGAATATTTGTTGTTCTGAAATATAATTAATAATTGTTATCAGAAAATATATGATAAATATATAATTGGTACTAAGGCTATTTAAAGATTAATTAAGCGTAACAAAAAGTAAATGTTATATCGATTTTTTTAATTTTTAAAATTGACTATCAAAACAATTTTATTCTACATTCTCGACTTATTTTTTTGCACAAAAAATGACATATTTTTCGATTGTCCTCTCGCATCCTGTATATCAACGATCGGAGACATGTACCGATGATAAGCCCACATCCACGTTTTATCTGTCGATTAAATCTGTGTGTATGTATATGTATATGTGCGCGTTGTTACGTGTGGTATGTGTGTGTATGTCGCGTTCTCCGTCAGTATTTGGTATCAACAAGAGTGGGATTATAAGAGAAAGGAAAACTATTATGTAGGTACCTCAAAACAAAAAAGGTATACTTTACTATATACCAGTGGCTGTTGAAGATAGACAACTATTTATAGGATTTAATTATTATAGATAACTATTTATAGGATTTAATTATTGTACACAAATTGGAAAGAAAAGGAAATAGAGCACTCTATATTCACACATATTCTCCTTAATTTACCATCAATTTTTGACTATTACATTTATAAATAATATATTTGTGATTGTATAAGAATCTTCACCAAAATATGACAAAGAATACTTGTTGTTGTTAATATGATTATATAACTATTATTAATATTGTAATAACGATTATTTTATTTTATTTTATTTTATTATTATTAATATTATTATTATATATTATTATTATTATTATTATTATTATTATCACACAACACATTATTATTATCGACACACTATTACCAATATTCTTGTTGCAATTACGATATTATTAAAATGATATACTAAGGATAATTATTATATATATATAAAATATATATATATATTATTTTATTATTATATATATATTAATATTGATATATATTATTGAACACTTGGAATATATGCATATTTCTATTCAATATAGTAAGAGAGTACCTTTATATATATAAATATAAAAATATAAATATATAAATATATTGTATAAATGTATATGTATATATATGTATAGTGGGTTTATGTACGCGTTATATATAAATAATAGAAGCGGACATTATTTATGTATAATCGATATATAAATTGACGCGTATATTTATATATCTATACATGCGAGATATGAAAGAGAGAAAGAAAAAAAAGGAAATCGATCTTCTATTTTGCATAGCTCGGTAATGATTCTCTTTTGGGTCTTAGATGCACACTAAATTACTTCTAAATGACATCTGTTGTTATATAAAATGAGAAAAGAAGAAATCTTCTAATTATCCTTACACGCGTATATACGCACACGACGCTCCCGCGTGCGCGCGCGTGCGTGTGTGTGTATGCGCGCGTATACATACATATGAAAGAAATCTCACGCAAGTGTCTTATTTTTCCAGGAAGCTTACCACTTATTAAAAAGTTGGAAGAAATCGCTACTAGAGGTTTTTGAACGCGTGTGTGATGACGAATTTCGGTGTATGTGAATGAGAATAAAATGTCTGGAACATTTTTCTTTTTCATAGATGGTACTTTTATCTTCTGCTGCGTGGAATAACGGATATATTATATACATATATTAGCGAGAACGTTTCTCTTTTCCATTTCGATTTTTAGTGATTTTCAAATGTGATTTCGACGGACGCGTGCGTGTGGCAATTTTAGAATTATTCGGCGTGTATATTATATCTGTTTTTTCGTTTTATATATTGTTGTATGCGTCCGTCTTTGCTTACTATTATTTAAAATTTCGGCAGTCTTTTATCGAAGGGAAAAGGGATTCGTGGCCTTGAGTTTCAAATTATTTATGAAAATTAGCACGTATTGTATCGCTTAGCGTATTTTTCGGCACCGCCAAAGTGTACACGACGAAAAGTGAAATTTTATTTTGTTGTCTCTTGTTATTGCATTTCGTGTTGCTTTTTAATATTTTATTAAAAGAAAAAAGAACACGCTTTTTTATCCGTAACGTTAGAGAACGAATAAGCTTGACGGTGATGGTAATTGATAAGAAAGAACGATAATGAGAATGATAATGACGTGGATGACACTGTGATGACATTATTACTTGGCCTGCTTGTCCCCTGTTGCTTTTTCTTCCAATCGAAAAAAAAAAAAAAAAGAAAACAGTTACGAAGTTGTAATCTCCGTAAAAAAACACATCCGTGAGGTACTCTGAATATGTACACGTACATACATAGGCATGTACTCGCCTGTGAATGCGGATACGTATATTACGCGTACGAGAGAGATAGAGATAGAAAGGATGAGAGAGCGTGTGTCAAATGTGTGCGTTTTTTTTTGTGCGTGTGTGTTGCGTGTATGTGCGTATGCGAGGGTATGAAAAACAAAGAGAAAGAGAAAATTAAAATACGCACGTACATGTTGTGTATGTCCGCCGCGCGTGTGCGTGCCAGTGTGTGAAAACGGATTGTTGTATCATGCGCGTTAAAGTGTGCGTGTGTGAGTGCGTGTGGACGCGTGCGCTGTCGTAGGCACGCTCGTACGCGGGTGTGCGTAGCAAATTACGTCATATAGATAGATCATATGTGCTTTCTCTAATGATGAATAATTTTATAAATATAAATATAATACCGATCTCTTACCGTGTACGTTTATTTCTACGTACGATAAGCTTGTATGTGAACTTCGCGTGTCCTGGAAGGCTCGTTCGCCTTTTATTAAACTGTCAAATAATTTCACAACGTTTCTTGCTTCTTTCAGTTGGTTGTGTTACACGCGCGAACATCAATAATACTCCCAATATCCTCTATCCTTCTTTTTTTTTTCTTTTTGATTATCCTCATTTTATATTACTTTTATAATTTGCTTCGGTGCCAAACTTTCGTAGTTTCAGACGTAATGTAATCTGAAAAACTACGCACATATAAGATTCAATATTTGGAAAAAAAAAAGAAAGAGACAAAGAAACAATGTAATTAAAATTTACTTCATCTTTCCAGATATACACAAATGTTATACATTTCTTCTATATTTTTTTATTTTGTTAATAACGATGAGAAGTAAAAGAACTTGTTAAGAACACGGTTTCACAATTATTTTTATTTTTGCATTGCAGCGTATGTCATTTGTTGAAATTCCTGTAAGATGAAGCTGTAGATATCTGAAACAATCTCGATTAGCTTATACAAAAGGAGTTTTTATTTGAATGCGATACATAGAGGAGATATAGTTACGATAGCGATACAACATACACATAAAAATTAATTTAATTATCGTAGTTTTATTTCTCGTAAGTCGCGCGTTGGCAAATGCAACGTCAATGGCAGTTTTGTAATAAAGCCGGACGCGACCGGTTCTTTTTCTATTTGGCGTAAGGCAGTTATATACGGCTTAACGACAGCCGGCGGCGCTTTTTATCAGGAGCGCAGGAAGAGACGGAAATGACCGAATCCGAAGACATAGACCCTACACAAAAGACGGGAACGAAACAACAAACCGACAAACTTTCAGAAACGATAGAAGAGTCTGGGATAAGGATTTTCAGATTAACGACTCGAACCCCATCAGCTAGTACCATTTAAAAATTTAAACGTTTCCTCTTATTTTTGTTTGTACTGCCGTTGTTGCAATTTTTACCAAAAAAAATTTGTTATTTTTATTGCATTTTATCGATCATGTACTTTAATAATTCTTTATTTTTAGCGTAAAAAAACGTTTATTTTTTGACGTAGTTTCTTTCGCGAACAACATAACAGACCGAAAGATATTCGAACGTTTCTCTTTGTAACATCTGCCAGAGCTGTGTATAGTCTGGATTATTTCAAACCCTCTTGCCGCGATTACTGAATGTTTATCTACGTTATCCGTTTTCTAACGACCCGGTGTAGGGTCGACGGAGCGGAACATCCGGTCGATATAACTTAACTACATGGTAAAAAAAAAAACAGTTTCTGACTTTTTTATATACATAGGCTCGTTCTCGCACGTCACTGATCCCGCTGGTTGGTCTCTCTCTCTCTCTCAATGTGTCTGTTCGTGCGGCCCGCGTCATCTCTACAGATTATTGTTAGGCGTCTCGGTTGTTCGTTCGGGATACCTGCCGCGCGCATGACCCCTTCTACGATAGTGAGAAGGTACGCGTCTGTGATCACTCGGCCACCTTCCCCGGTTAGGAGGCGTTCTGTATTCGTGCGGATAACGCGGTGGATAGTTGTTATTAGGGGGTTGTACGTTGTTCGATGTGAATGGCTTTAGGTTTACAGTTCGGTTCGATTCGTCGATGATACGTCGGCGGAGACACACGACACACCGGCTCACCCGCGACGTATGATCGATCTTCAGCGTCTGCTGAATCGGTTTGCGGAACATCTCGTTGTCCTCAATGGTCGCCAGCCAGTACGACGTCGCTGTGGCGAAGTAATTACAGGTACCGAGACCGCGGCATTCGATAAACGGCCTGACGCGGAATTCTTCCAAGCAAGATCCAGGCGAGACCAGAGATTGACCGCCACCGTCCGCGCCAGCGTCTCTATGCTGAAATCAAGATGTTATTTAAAAAAAATAATTCACATAAAAAATCGATTAATTTTATATTATCAGTATTGAGATTTAAACTGTCCGATGATCCATTATCTTAACTAAATTTCAATCTCACCATAAGGAAACTGTAGCCGACCCAGATTTCGTCCCAGCCACCGGGACACTGGGGTATCGTCATTGATTGACTGTGAACGGCTATTACCCTGGTAGGCGCTTCGCACACGGAACATCTCGATATGTATCTACCCACTTCCGGAGCTGGTATCGGAGTCATCATCATTGGCATGGGCTCTGTTGTACTAAGCCAATAACTGTAATCGTTGCGATTGGCGTAATCGCACACGTTGTTCAAGTTGCAGAACAAGAAGGGCATTGTAGAGAACTTCCTGATGCAGCTGCCAGCAGCGCCTGATTAACGTAAAATCACACTCGATGTCTGTCTTTGTCTTTATTTTTAATTATATTTCATGATTTTTATAATTAATGTTAGTATTTTAATTTTTACAAGGATTTTTATAAGGATTTAGAAGAAATATATAGAAAGCGCATATGTTATTTTATAAAACATTCATTTTTTTTAAATTCTACTTACCAAGATCCTGCGCGTATGCTCGTCCATTGCCCATTATGTGTAATAAAGAGAATCCTTCCCAAATCTTCACGGTGTTTTTCGGACAGATTGGTATCATTTCGGACTGCGAGTGACGAGCGAAGTAGAAACCTCTGTTTCTTGGACCGATTCCATTTGCCGCGGGTATACCAGGTGCGCCGGGGAATCCTAAGAAATTAATTTCCAATTTAATATAATTAATATAAATTTTTTATGACAATAATTACATTAAAGATTAAATAATTATTATTAAACTTTTATTCTAACAAATATTTAGTATAAGATGTACCCGGTGATCCTTGTCGTCCAGTTGATCCAGGAGGTCCTTGATATCCGGGCGGTCCCTCTTTACCTTCCGGTCCCTGCGGTCCAGTAAAACCAATCATACCTCTCTCACCTTCTCGTCCAGGTAGGCCATCTTTGCCAGGTTCACCCATTATTCCCTGTAGTCCAGGGAAACCTGTGTATCGATACGATATTGTATTAATGCTCACTAAAATATATATAGTTTTCTTTTTATAAAAAAAATTTAGAACCTGGTAATCCAGGAGCTCCTATGTCACCAACAGGTCCTTTTCTTGGGAACGGTGGGAATGGATTTATACCGGGATCTCCTTTTGGTCCCTATCAAAAACATTACAATTATTTATAATAGAATTAGAAAGAATTTATATATTCGCTTTTCGTCTTTTCTGCTTCTCGAACTAACCTGCGGTCCAGGTAAACCAGGTAGTCCAGGAATACCAAGCTCACCAGGCTCTCCTCTTTCTCCCTTCAATCCTGGTTGTCCCATGAAACCAGGTAGACCAGATTCACCTTTCATTCCTTTCAGTCCCGGTCGACCATCAAGTCCAGGCCATCCGATTTCGCCGGGTTGTCCTTTGGCGTTGATCGCGGATACTCCCGGTTCACCACGATAACCTTTCGGACCTGGTGTTCCGGGGAAACCTTGCAATCCTTCCAAACCTGGTGCGCCCGGAAAGCCGACAAATCCTCTAGGACCTAATTAAAATATGATAATTAACAATAATTCCATAAAAAATGATCAGAAAAATTTGATGAGAATATAATACCTGGTTCTCCTGAAATTCCTTTAGGACCGCGAATACTATGACCTATATCACCAGCGATACCTTTCGGTCCATTTCGACCATATTCGCCAGGAGCTCCTTTTTGTCCCGGACGTCCTGGAACACCAGGCATGCCGTCCAGACCGGAGCGACCAGGTTCACCGGGTTCAGCAAATTCACCAGGTAAACCTATGACAAACAAAATATATTATTTTATTTTATATATGTTTTTATAATTATATATATAATAGATAGATATTTAAATAATATATTACTATTAGATTTTGACTGCATTTTATTAAATCTACAGATTATAAAGAAATTTTATTGAAAAATTTAAAAATCATTTGCTTTATGACTTTATAATATTAAACTTAATATAAATATATCTGTTTATATACCTGGAGCGCCTTGGGGTCCTTGATCACCTGGCAAACCAGGAAAACCAGGTAATCCGACAAATCCGACAGAACCAGATAAACCTCTGTCTCCAATTTGACCCTGTAATAAACAAGTAAATATAATCTCTTCCAAGTCACATATCAAATATTATTTATTAATTTATGTACCTTACGACCAGGTAATCCCATATATCCTTGTTCACCCCGTTCTCCTTTAAGACCAGGTAAACCATCGTGTCCGCGATCACCGTAATCACCTTTCGGCGCATACGCGAAAGATGGTAAACCAGGTTCACCTACGATACCTTTGGGTCCAGGATGTCCTAAAAGACCTGGTGGTCCTCTTACGCCGGGTTCACCCGGCATTCCTATTGTCAAACGTTGAATGTTAATAATTATGTTATATAAAAATATTAGTAAAAAGATAATCGATTTGAATACCTGGTCTGCCCATTAGACCTGGATCACCGTCGAGTCCGTGTTTTCCTTTTAGTCCATCAAATCCGGGCGGGCCAATTAGACCCTTTTCACCTTTCACACCGGGTCTGCCGTGTCTTCCAGGTGCGCCCGGTCTTCCCGGAAAACCTTGATCGCCTCGTTCACCTTTTAATCCGTCAGGACCCATATCACCAATTTCTCCCTATTTCACAAAAATATAAATGTTAAATATAACTTAATAATTTGCAAGTACTTTGTGCTAAAATACGTCTACCTTTGGTCCTACGGTGCCATCGAATCCGTCATAGCCATCGTTACCCTTCTGTCCTTGCAGACCGTCAAAACCGTCGGTAGCCAATCCCGGCTCTCCTGGTAAACCTGGTCGTCCGTCGAAACCAGCGAGACCAGGCGGACCAATTTCTCCCATGAAACCGGGCTCACCGATATCACCTTGAGGACCGCTAAAGGCGTTCTCACCACGAGGCCCTGGCAATCCGTCGATACCCATATCACCGAAAATACCCTTAGGTCCAAGTGGTCCTCTTACTCCCGGCTCTCCAGGAATTCCAGCATCTCCAAGTTCTCCTTTAGGACCGGGCGCTCCATCGATTCCGTCAAAACCGGGCCAACCAATCGGCCCTGACTCGCCAATTTCGCCAACTTCTCCTTTTTCTCCCGGAGCACCAGGTAGACCCTGTCTTCCGTGCATACCTTGATATCCCTGAGGTCCCATGTCACCATCGTCACCACGTCGTCCAATAAAACCGATTTCTCCCTTCAAACCCTTCATTCCGTCAAAGCCGGAAGGTCCATCGGGACCTAGAATTATAAATATTTGGTTTTATTTAAAAACGCGAAACAAAAATTAAATTAACGAAACGTATACATATACGTGAAAAGTTATATTTTCAAAATCAGATTCATATTCACTTATTTCTGTGTAATTTGTTATATCTAGTTTGTACTTACCGCGAATACCGACATCTCCAATTAATCCAGGCATTCCAGGCTGGCCTGGTATTCCTGGGAAACCTCGATCTCCTTGTATACTGTCTCCATGTTGACCTTTAGCTCCCTAAGATTCAAATTTATATTGAATAAAAGTAATTATCCCCACGTGAAATGTTACTCTGATGTAATACTCACTTGAAGTCCAGGCAATCCTTCGTAGCCAGGTGCTCCTTTGGCACCCTTGCTACCTTTCGGACCATCCTCTCCTGCTCGCCCACGTAAACCTTCAGGACCAGGATTTCCGATTTCACCCTTAGGACCGTATCCTCCGCGTTCTCCAATTTCGCCGTAAGTTAAATTTGAGCCTGGATCTCCTCGATCACCTTTATTGCCAACGCGACCCTGCAATAAGATGCGTGAGTCATTTCAGTTATGCAAAAACTGACTGTAGAAAACATATAAATTGTCTAATCACAATTCGCTCACCGGAAAACCAACTGGTCCCTGCGATCCTGGTGAGCCTGGTGAGCCTCGAGGTCCTTGATCTCCCGGGATTCCGGGATATCCCTTTAAGCCAACAGGACCTTGAATCGAAATACCTGGCGCACCTGGCTCACCTGATAATCCTGGTAGACCTTCGTCGCCAATTTGTCCTTGGAAGCCTTTGAAACCAGGCTCGCCTAAAAGAATAATCGAAAGAGCTAATTAATTAATTTTATTTTATCTCTTTAAGTAAAATATCAATTCTAACATATAATATATTTTTATTCATAAAATCATGTAAATATTTCTTCAAAAAAAAATCTAAGGCAATCTGTATGTTAGTATCTTACTTTTTTTATTTTTCTCAATTACATATTTTATTGTTCACGTGTTATGTTGTTAATTATATTTAAGAAATTTTTTACTCTATTATACGTACCGCGGTCTCCTGGTTCACCTTTGTAACCTTTGTCACCTCTAGTGTCTTCGAGATACTCTCCGGCATCTCCAGGTCTTCCCTTGCTACCTTTATCTCCTTGTATTCCTTCCACTCCCGGCTCTCCTGGATATCCTGGATCTCCGCGCAAGAAAACAACTGGTATTAAAGCGTCTTCACCTTTTTCACCGGGAATGCCGTCCCATCCGTGAGTTCCATTCTTTCCCGGTAATCCTGGAGCACCATGGTCACCCTATAGATAATTATAGTAAGAAAAAGTTTATAACATACTTAGATTATTCATACTCTAAATTTAAGGAAATAAATGTATATTAAAAAATATATTGCAAAAATAAATGACCTTTTCTCCTTTAGGACCCGGTACACCTGTGTCGCCGATAGAACCCGGTGGCCCTCGTGGACCTCTGGGTCCTTCGGGACCAGGCAAGCCTTTCTCTCCATCGTCACCCGGCGGACTCTCGATCTTCTCGTCCGGGAACCTTAGTTGACCTCGTTCTCCTTTAGGTCCTTGAATGCCCGCTATACCGGGCCGTCCACTGTCACCTTGAAGTCCCGCTGGACCTTGTGGACCACGTTTTCCTTGTATTCCTTTGAATCCTCGAGGACCTGGCAACCCGGGGAATCCCGAAGCTCCGGGATACCCGTCTAAGCCAGACTCACCGCGTTCTCCTTTCTCACCGGGTAAACCTGCGAGTAAACAATTAGTACAAAGTAAATATTTTAATAAATATTTTATTCTCTTTCGGAATTTTTTCCGTAAATAACCGGAAGTTAAAGGGTAATAATTATTTACCTGGTGCACAGACGCCACAATCGTCTCCTCGAATACCCTTTAAACCTTTAAGGCCGGGTAAACCAGGCCAGCCATCGGGGCCGGAAATGCCTGGCGTTCCTGGAAGACCTCGTTCTCCTGGTGGTCCGCGAATTCTTATACCTTTTCCAGGGAAACCTTTCTCTCCTGGAAAACCTGGATCACCGCGATCGCCAGGTGGGCCTGACAATCCTGGAATACCTGGTTTACCATCTTGTCCTGGAGGTCCATGAATTGTAACGCCTGGAAATCCTTTGGCTCCAACAGGTCCGGGCAAACCAGGTAGCCCGGGAGGTCCCTGAGGTCCGACGGTGCCCGGTAAGCCTAAAATAATTAATGAGCGAGCAATTATTATTTACTAGAAGTATTTTTTTATTTACAATAAAATAGTTAACTCTCTTTTATATATTATTTTTGAGTCATAAACGTACCGTCGTCTCCTTGTTCTCCTTTTATAGACGAGCCTTTTAATCCTGGCAAACCAGATAGACCCTGAGGTCCTGGCGGTCCTGGAGGTCCTATAAAGCCGACTTTACCTGGTAAACCTGGCGTTCCTGACTCACCAGGTTCACCGGGAGGACCTACGAAAAAAGTAAAAGTTTTTAAGATCTTTTCTAAATTGTATAAAAATATATTTTTTTTATATTTTCTGAAATTATGAAAGAGACGTGAACATATTATTACTATTTTCTCTTTCTCTCTTTTTTTTCTCTCTCTCTCTCTCTCTATCATATTAATACATATATATAAAAATTATTTACTTAATATAAAATAAATGATCTACAATATATACTGACCAAGATCTCCTTGGATACCAATGTTCCCGGCGATTATTTCATCAAGTTCTGGGATATACAGTCCATGTTCTCCTTCAGCACCTTGTTTACCAGGTTGACCACGATTTCCTTCTTCTCCTGGTTCTCCCTTTATAATATATCGTAGATAATATACATTTCGCATACATATAATTTTCATCTTTAGTATAAATTTGCAATGCCACTTACGTCAGCTCCATCCGAACCGGGTAGTCCAGCAAATCCTGGAGCTCCTTTCTCTCCCTTCTCACCAGCTGGACCTGGCGGTCCTTCTGCACCCTGTTTACCTCTCGGTCCATCATCACCCTGTTCACCCTTGATACCCTTCATACCTAAGAAACCTGTACGGCCCTATAAAAAAAATTTATTATTTTACCTATAACGATCATTGTGTATATAATTAAAAACTATTTTAAATCTCTGAATCTATATTTTTATACGTCGAATATATATTACCTTTGGACCCTTAGCACCCATTTCTCCCTTGCGACTTCGGTCGCCGTAATCGCCCTTCATACCCTTCGGTCCTGGAGAACCTTTCACGAGTGTCGAATTCGGTCCTTGTTTAAATTCGTATATTCCAGGATCTCCTCTGTCTCCCTGTTCGCCAAGCTGACCCTTCACGCCGTACACATCTTCACCGACGCTACCTTGCATGCCTGGCAATCCAGGAGGACCTGGCAAACCCTGGCGAGGAATTTACAAATTTTTCCACTCGTAATTTTGACGAAAAACGAGTGTGTTAATTAATATTACACAAAATTTACGCGTATATCTCGTAACTATCTTTTTTCTCTTACATGATTTGAAATGATCGAAACTTAGTTAGTTTCTCGCTCACGGACAATCGTTTCCAAAGTTCTCGAGAGAGACTGGTCGAGCGATTGTGGGATTCGATTGCTCTCGAGCCACCCGGTATACTTTGATGCAGATTTGTCTATACATGTTTTGCGTTACGGTGAAGTTACATCTAGCGTGGCAGAGCGTAAGTGCATGTATTATGAAATCCATTATAATGCTAATTTAAGTGCACGGTTCAGCCCTGTTTATTTTTAACCCGGTCGAAATGACACTGCCACACGCTACAAGGTTGTTTCGATCAAAAGCAAAGCTTCGTGCACACTTTGTTGCTTTCACACGCCCGCCAACTAACATTTTGTTGCTCACAGAAATGTTAGTTGGGAATGTTTTCGCTCTCTCGAAAAAAGCACTAATTTTTATCAGAGTCTATAATTTGTCTGCTTATCGCGATTTGCTCGTTGCTTAATTTAGAACGTCGATTCGAGGATCGTGACATCGCGACGAAATTACTTATGCAATTACGTAGCGCGTTTATCGCATTGCGAATGGAAAAACAGAATCTTTCGTCAAGACCTAATTGTCTTCCATAATAACGCGAACGACTCTTGCCGGAGATCAAAACAAAAAAAAAAAAAAAAGAAGAAGCCATCCAGACTCATCCGATTTCTCAGAATTCGTCGGTCGCCGGATACAATCTCTTCTTCGTCATCTCGAGAGAGGAGACAGAACTCTCGCGCTATCAGCGACGCGTCGTGTCAGCAGATAGCCGGGCGCGACGCTTCGGATTTCAGCTGATTCGTTTCGCGATTAAGTGCAGAAGCTCTCGCACATTTTAATATAATTTTTCATGTCATTAATTTATTTTTACGTTTAAATCCTGCAAATACACGGTATTTCGAAGGTGGAAAATTTTAAAGCAAAGCTATTATATTTTTGTTGTTTATTTCACGATACAAAATTAAATATCGTAAAATGTAGAAATATTAAAAAATTATTTGTTACATTTTATTAAGATATTTGATAAATGTCTGTAAAAATAGAGATTTGTTTTTGTGAAAAATATTCTCTTCTTCGGATTTAGCACGACGTTTGGATTGACGACATCTCGTTTGCCAACAGAACCGTAAATTCTTCGACAGTTTCGCTAATAAACTGCGTCGAGCAAATCGCGAACGACAGAAGCTTCGCTTCTTACGCGCGAAAGTAGCTGATAAGTAGCATAGAGTGCATGGCATAAGTAGCACGTAAGTACACACACCGGGAACGTTTAAACCTTCGTTCTAGTAAAGGATCTTCTTCGGGGAAATATATATATATATGTATGTATGTGTGTAAAATCGCGCGCGTAATTCAACGTTTACGGGCGTATATCCTGGAATATCGCGGATACAAAGTGGCGCTGATAACTTTCGAAAGAGATCATCGCGTCTTTGCCGCGCGCTTGAAGAATCTCATAAAGTTTTGTCGTTCGGTTTATACGAAAACGACACGCTTGATGATACGCACACCATCCGCCATGTATCGCGTGTTATTCGCGCGACATATCACGCAACTGCACTACTTTAAGAAAGAGGACGAACGAGAGGACTTGGTTTCTTAAATTTCGCGCACACAGACGCTTTTTTTTTTTTTTTAATACGTAGTTAATATTACACACGTGTATTAAATGCATATTACATATTCGCGTGTCAAAATAAATGCATTCTTTTTTTCTTTGTTATAAATGCTTAGTAATTTTCTAATAATAACTTAAAGCCAGTTTTTTACTCGCGTCGGTATTATTATTTTTCTAATCTTTTGTGCGTTTACTTTTTTAATAATACAAAAAATCCACCGCGCACTTAACCTCGATGTTTATTTCTTCTTTTTTTTCTAAAGAGAAAAGAAAACGGTCTTATTAGTTTCGTTCCACGCTAGGGAGAGACGCGCGCGAGAATACGTTTTGTGTGCGAGCCGTGTGCATCGCACACAAAATTTTCACCTAAACCTCGTACGAGCGTTTCGCGCTCGCGTTTCAGAAGGGCGACTTTTGACCTGCCGGACGTGCAAGAAGAGCATTCCACAAAGAAGAGAGAGAGAGAGAGAGAGAGAGAGCGGCGCGGTTATCGCGCGATATCGCGACGCGGAATTCTTTCGGATTCTTTCCGGTTCTACCTCGCCTCTTTACCCCCGGTGCCCGTTAAATATTGCCGGGGAATACTTTGGCCGGCAGACGATATTTCATGCGAGCAGGTGGCGTCTCGCAAAAAGGAACGAGAATCGTCTCGAGCGGGCTCTTTGCTCCCGCTCGCTCTCGTCTCCTTTTTCCTCCTCCTTCTCCGTGTCTTCAGGGACCTCTACCTAAATGCTCGGCGCGCGCGCGAGAGAGAAGGTTCACCGGCCCTCGATCGAGCCAGCGTTACGGTACCTTAAACTTAAACAACCGGACGGATATACACAGCGCGCGTACCGGTTATTACTTACAAAGTCGCCTGGTTCTCCGGGATAACCCATTTCACCGGTCAGCCCATGCTGTCCTCGATAACCCTAGAAAAAATGTGATCACACAAGGATCTTAGAAATAATTATCAAAGATTATCGCGACATCGGGCGGGGATTTTAACAATGAAATCGTATTCGCCGCGAGATAGTTTTACACACGCACATGTGTATTATATGTCATAATACACATTCTCTGAGATCAATTATTTCGGTTAGCGAGAGATCAGGTTTTCATAAATTGTAGAAATTAAATTTGTTGCGTACGTATGTGGAAACTCACAAATTTTTCTCAAATCTAAAAGCTGGGGTAACAATTAGAAGGAAAGAAAAAATTAATTTTCAACTATTTGTTGGCTTTTTTAAAAATATAATATTGCCAATACAATTCCCGAGAATTTAACCGATAACGTATGTTCGACGTTAAACGCGAAATGCTTTTACCTCCGGCCCATCGATACCGGGATCTCCGCGAATTCCTTTGGCACCGACCGAATTGATACCTCCATCACCGGGCTCTCCCGCTGGACCGTAATCTCCCATGGGTCCTTCTGGACCACGCGGCCCGAAATATCCAGGCATACCGGGTGCACCGGCACGACCGTCGGTCCCGTTGCATCCGTCCAGACCGTCCGGACCCATCACACCGGATAAACCAGGATTACCCTAAAGAACACTTACTATAATCTTTTTAAATCGCTTTTTCGAGCTTTAATAAATTAGACTCGTTGTCAGAAAAATCATGAGACAGCCACGATTTTTCCTTTTCTCTTCACAACATGGAAAGAATGAGATAAAAAATAGGTTTAACAACTTTCTTCAAAAATGTTTTATTGGAGAATATTAATTAATGTTTTCTATTTATAAGAAAAAAATCGAAATTTTGTTATATTTTTTATATGTGTGCACAGCAAACTGTAATCCAATATTTTGAAATACGTACAGAAAGTCCTGGTTCTCCTGGAAATCCTCGTACACCATCTTCGCCCTAAAGAAAAAAAAGAGATGAAGTGCTCATAATTTTCAGCTACACGTACAATTATCTTGCTAATATCAAAAAGAAACTTAAAATCTATATTACTCGCTATAATTACGCAAAATTGAGTTTACGCAATTTAATGCAATTTAGTTTATTAATTTATTTTAATGTTGCATGAATATTTACACGCATCGAGAGAACTGTCACACTCCTCTATCGCGAAGAGACAAATGCTCGTCTGGTTTTTCCATGATCGATCTCAATTACGTCCGCGTTTAATTCTAATTAACATTGTCCGCCTTCGAGCTCAAGTACATCTCGCTACGAGCAACATCGTTGCAATTGCAGATGCAATTGCATCGTATCCTTGATTCGGCAGAAGGTCGCTCTTGTTGCGTCGCCGCGTCGCCCGTCGTCGACGCAACTCGAGAAGTGTTACCGCGTGTCACGATCGTAAAAGTGCGTCGCCAAGAATGCGTACGCAAAATGTAGTGTAGTTCCGCACATGTAGAAGCGCATATAAAATGTAAGTGCATCGTCAACGTCTATTATGCTTAATTCAGACTGGTTAAAGGGGCGACAATGGTGCCGCGACCGCATCGACGCGTTCTCGTATAATTAACAATGCATCAAGACATTTTCTCTTGGCGTTTAACACGACCCTCGGAGTGTACATTTTTCATCTCGTAACACGTTTTGCGCGAAACTGGTTGCAAACATTTCAAGCATACTTGTAAAACCTCAAACAAAACAAAAATTTGTACACGGAGAAAACACTATGAATATCACTTCAGGAAATATAGTTGCCCCAACAAAATAGTAATGTTATTTTTCGCCCATGCGTACAC